GTGGAAATCAGCTAAGGAGGGTAAAACTACCTTATATCCTATTAGAATTTTTAAACATGTGAAATTAACACAGCTTTACCCACGTACATTCAAACGACATTTCTGGGTATTTGCGTGAATGTCAAGACCACAGGCAATATTCACCAGGGTTATTTCGTTGTACACCGGTTATCTGATATTACAGTCGCATGAGATAAGTATGTAATCAGCGCTATCATTACCATACATGGAACCCTTGAATAAGTTTAAAGAAGGAATACCACCCAACAGGACGCGTTATCGGAATGTTCTCATGATATAACAGGTTGATCAAGTTCTGAGATTATTTTGGGTACGAAGTAACGACAATTCTGCGTGAGTTAAGTTTGGGCTCCTCGGAAGTATACGAAATAAAAGTTAGTTTGGGTTCGAGTGCCATCCTCGGAGGAACTCTGGATATAAAATCCAGAGAATAACGAACTTTGCCAAGAGCACATGGGCCAACCGCAAGCCAACGAGGTTTACAATTCCCTCCTCTTGAATCAGACAGCTCAGCCCTGAGTAGATCATTTTCCAGCTTTTGAAGTTACGGAGCTACACTTTAACACCCTGTCTCTGTAACAACCCGCACCTTTTCGCACTTTTTGGATGGCAAGTGTAAATTTCCAACATTTTTAAATCAACCTAAATTGGTCTCGCTTAGAGTTCAAAGGAAAGACCCGATCAAGAAATGGTAGATGCAGCCTTTGTAGACTCGCAGCACTGAAAATGGAGGAGATACGATGGATCAAAGAGGCGAGACCTGATATGTGTCTCGTCAATGAGGCCCTTCGTCGACGGGTATCGCAATCAATGTATGACATTTTGACCATAACTCGTCCATTGTGGGCATAAAACAAACTATAATGTAGCCATAATGGACAGAAAAGGCACATTTCATTTACACATTTCGGCAGATTTCGTAGTCCCTTGCCCATTCATACCTTCTACTTGCGCTACGAAGGCGGAACTTCACAGTACATCTTTTTATGCTGTCAGCACACTATGTGCCAAATTTCAGCTCAATTGAGCTCTCGATCATAGGGCTTGTCATCTGGGGGGTGCGGGCAGGCTGGGATACCGCGTGTTAACATGAAGAATGCATATTTGCCTTAACAAGAGAGGTATTAATACGGTATACCGTGTTAAACTTGCCATAGCCGGGGTCCTATATTGACCAGATACCTTTTCTCCGACTTCTGTCATTTTCCCAAGAGACCAGCACCTTACTCTTGACCTTGATAACCATGTATTCGCCTGGGTTGGTCAAGGTGTCAGAACATATACGGCACTGCCTTGGTACGTCTAAAGCCGTGTACTTGTGGTTGCAGCGCGAGATGGAGCCTCTATATAAACGCTACCGGTAGTTTGGCGACGAGAAAGATCGGGATGGTGAACTTGAACTGGACGATGTGAACAAGTGGAGCGCGGGGCTTCCGCCGGGAGCGCGCCAGGTGAAGGGCTCGATCGATTTACCTGTTTGCGAACTGGAGTTGCCCCAGACCACGGCTGACGGCCCCCATGAAAGCGCTGCACACCCGCAGCTACGCGTAAGCAAGCATACACATAACCCTCGGTGGCATTCTTGTTGACCCGGTGAGGCTCACCGTGAGACGATTCAGGGGTCTAGGCGGTCTAGTAATACTTCATTGCTAGAATTCGTCGGGGTTTCTCCCAGGAGGACATGTCCGTCTGCTTGTTGACATAGGAGAGCTTGCCAGCGCCTCGTCCCATTGCTCGATCCACGCGCTCGGCTGCGGCGCGCTCGGGTTGGTCTGCTTCTTCTTCTTCTTGCCTGAGTCGGGTCTGCTCTCGCTCGGCCTCCTCAGCCTCCTCGTGCTGCTGCTTGGCGAGCTGCTCCTGCAAGATGCTCTCCTCATCTCTCATGGCGCTGTCGACGATGGTCGCGCCCGCCGCGATCTTGTCCGCCAGCTCGTGCGTCTTAGCCAGGATCTTGGCCCCCGTCGCGGACTCGGCCACCGTCTGCTTCAACTTTGTACCCAAATTTTATTAAATGACTACAGAACTAATTCAGTGCGCACAAAACATGCGGTCCTTCCTCAACAGTCACGCCGTCCGAGGCTTGATAGGGTACTTACCTATCAACAGCGGCCGCAACCGCTGCTGACGCACCAGTACCACGGGCGGCCAGGTCGACGAGAAAGAGCGCAACGGCGACTTTTGTCTCGGGTGGGAGGTCGCTTGCTCCGAGCAGGCGACCCATGTCAGCAATTTAGAGATCGGTGAGCTCCGATGTAGCAGATATTATTTTGGCCAATCGAATTGTAAGTGTGGACCACACTTAATATTTTCTGGCGATCTACTGCATTTTCATGTGGAACCGAGAAGTACTGGGCGAAACTGGTTTGTATGTTGTGCGTCCGAATTGGAAATGAGACCTTGAATGAAGTTGTTGCTGCTTGGTAACGTTGCGCTAGTCTGGTGGCGGCAAGGAACGTGCACTTTAGCGTTGTGGTGCTTGTCGAGGAGACGTCGATGTTGCAGTTGGAGCTGTCCTATCGATACAACCCCTTTCTGCTAGGATCTGCTGGTGGAGCTCCAAAGTTGTGACTCGCAGTCGCACGAACGATTACGCCAAGATGCTGGAGCAGAGCAGTCGAGTGAAGCGGACTCGGCCATTTGATTTATTTCACATAGATCGGCCCGATGTGACAGGAAGGCGAGTGCGAGCTGATCCAATGCTCCAGCGCGGAGCCCATGACATGGGCCATGTGCACAAGGAAAAGCGATGCAGAGTTTGCAGCCTTCGGTGAGCTGATCTCGTTCCAACCCGTCGATGCTCGTGACGAGGTCCCTGCTTTGAGGACGCGTCAGTGACTTATGCCACTTCAACATGGATATCATTCAGCTAACAAAGATCGGGCAGATTACGTATTTACGGGACGCGCTGTCGCGCAGGCCGGATTATGAGCTGGCTTATGTAACGACCGTGACTTCGTCATTACCGGATCTGATCCGAACGGCTTATGCCAAGGACGACACCTGTGTCGCGCTGCTGAAGGCTCTGGGGAGCAAGGAGTGTCAAGACTCGGACATGAAATTGTCAGCGCGGCTGCGCGCGCGGCTACACCGTTATTCCCTCGATGGAGGCCTGTTGTTCTACAACACTGGCCCCGAGGATACGCCCCGCGTGGTCATCCCTCATGATGCGGATCTGAAGTACCGCATCCTCTACGAGGCACACGACACGCCGCTGGCCGGTCATCTTGGCCGTGAGAAGACCTACAGCTCGGTGAGCACCCACTATTGGTGGCCGGAGCTGTACAAGTGGACGAACATTTATGTGCGCACGTGTGAGACGTGTCAGCGAGTGAAGTCGTCACCTCATGCTGCAGCGCCGTTGGCGAGTTTACCTGTCCCTTCGGGCTGCTGGCAATCCATGAGTATGGACTTTGTGTTTGGCCTGCCGGCGGACGCGGCGGGCAACACTGGAGTCGTGGTCTTCGTGGACCGACTACTCACATTGCGGCTGTGCCGGATACCATCGATGGTAAAGGTACAGCAACGCTGTTCTTGGACCGAGTGTTTCGACAACACGGACTCCCTGAGTCGATTGTCTCGGACCGAGACCTCCGCTTCATGGGCAACTTCTGGAGCGCGGTCTTTGCGGTGCTTGGCACCAAGCTGGACATGTCCACGGCGGACCATCCGCAGACCGATGGTCAGGCCGAGCGCGTAAATCGCGTCGTCGAGGACGTGCTCCGCAGCATTTGCGCTGAGACGCCGAAGCGCTGGAGCGCCATGCTGCCACTCGTTGAGTTTGCGTTGAACAACGCCGTGCACGCCTCGACAGGCTACACGCCGTTCTACGTGAACAGCTTGTCTCATCCCCGCGTCCCGCTGACGCCGCCACGTGGTGACCTCGGGCTTGGTGGGGGAGGAGAAGCCGACTTAGCTGATCGGCTAGCCGATGTCAGCCCGGCTACTGTTCGTAAACAGGTTGACGCTTTCTTGTCGACGCGTCTGAGTGTCTTACGACATGTGCGTGATGCAATGGCTGAGAGCCAAGACAAGCAAAAGGAACATGCAGATGCCAGGAGCAGAGGCAATGTTGAAAGTTATGAGGTTGGGGACCTGGTGTTGCTTAATGCTAAGAACCTACCTACACATGCAGTGTCTGCCGTCTTCAAGACGAAGTTGCGCCCGCGCTTCATCGGACCTTTCAAGGTTGTGGCCAAGAAGTGCCTTGCGTACACGCTCAATCTTCCGAAGAAGATGCGGACGCACCCCGTCTTCTACGTGGGCTTGCTCAAGCCGTACCAGGACCCGATGCAGGTGCAGAAGGAGGCACCGAGAGTGACGAGGTCACAGGCGCGGAGGTCGCGGTCGTCGAGGACGAGACCATCCACACGGGCACCGCAGGTACAGGCGGAAGAATCGGCGCCGGAGGTGCCGCGGGCACAGCGAGAGCCGCAGGCCAGGAGTCGCGGCAGTCGGAGCCTGCATGCGGGCCAGGAGATCGAGCTGACCCTGAAGCACAGCCTGCTGACGCTGTAGCTCCCCGAGCGCCCGGCCACGTTGCTCATCGCGATCGCGATAGTATCGTACCCAGTCCTCCAGGGCCCCAAGGCGGTTCCAGACCGCTCGAGGCACCTCGATCCATCGCGTCCGCTCGGCGAGCTCGTCGAGTTCGGTGGCAGTCCGGACCAGACGTGCATCGACGTCATGGATATGATCCCGAAGGGGGCCCGCCTGCTGCCGCACCTCCAAGAGCTCACTTTGAGTCGCGAAGGACCCCACAGCGGCCTCCACCGGCCTTGCTCGATGAGCATGGGAATCTACATTACCATGTGAAGCGCCTCCTGGCGAAGCGGCGGTGCCGGGGTCAAAACCAGTATCTGGTGAAATGGCGAGGGTACCCTCACTCCGAGAACTCATGGGAGTTTGAGGTGCCCCTCCGCCAAGACTGCCCAGACGTCGTGGACACTTTTGATCAGCTTCATCACCAGCGCCCTGAGGGCTCAAGGCGGCACGCCGGCCGTCCCGCGCTTCCCGGCAATAAGCTGGGGAGCTGCTGGGTCAGCCACATTGCTCCGAGGCTGACCCTGAGCCACAGCGCTCACTCCCTCGCGGGAAGGAGCGGCTGGAGTGCTCGAAGGAGCGAAGCGCGCAGCGCTAAACTGGGTCTGCGGCTGGGTGAGTGCCGAGAGGCTGCGCTTGGCTCGGACCTTCGCGAAATCGAAGCGGAGCTCGCGTTCAATACGAACATCCACTTCACTGAAGCTGGCTCGGAGAGCGTCCATGGAGCTGAGCTTTCGGCTGTGCTCGGCCCAAGACTCGAACTGAGCTTCGTACTCAATTGAGTCTTCCCCCGGGCTAAGTACCACCGGGTACGTCCGCATGGCGGGCACGGACTTCTGCTGGGCTTGCAGCCGCAGCCTCTCGCGATACTCCGCGACAGTCGTAGATTGTGGAGTGAGGAGCCGTTCTCGCATAGATGTACGCAGTGAGAGCTCCTCCGGAGTACGGGCCGCGGGCCCAATGGTGTGCAGCGCGAGAGACTGCTGGAACGCCTGGCGACAAGCCTCCGCGGGGTAGCGAGGCCGGAAGCCGTAGTCGGCAGTGCTGGGGTTCAGCAGAGGCCGCCGCTCAGGACGCTGGGAGCACGTGGGAGCCATCTGCGCCGCAACCTGCTAGGACTGAGCTTCGTCCAAAGGGTTGGAGATGACGGGGCCCAGGTGAACGCCCTCACCACGAGGTGGCGAATACCGTGACTCAGTGAGCGCGCGCAGCTCGTAGAGGCCGGAAGAGCGTTCAGGGAACGGGTTCGGAGTTCGCAGCGGTGGTCGCGGCTCCTCCCTCGACGGCGCAGCGCGCTCTGCAGGCGGTCGGCTCGACGAGCGCACTGGAAACGTGTGCGCGGGGGCTCTTGATCGCGACGGCTCGGAGAGCCAACTGGGGCCGGCGAGCCTTCTTCACGACTTGTCGACGGTGTGGGTGAAGCGTCGCCGCGGCTCGGGGAGCGTCGCGTGAGTGGAGACGCGTCTCCTCGGTTCGGAGAACCCTCCATGGACTCGTCCACCTCGCCCTCTTCACCAGAGAGTTCCCTAGGATCCATGATCTGGCGGGTTGGTGCTCGAGGAGAGCTGGGACTTGCGCGCTGCGAGCTACGCTTCAGGCGTTGCGCCGCGAAGTACACGGACACCGAGAGCCTGGAAGGCGTCGAGGGTGTGCGCGCGGGCGCTGGCGTTCGCGGAGGCACGGAGGCACGCAGTGCAGCAGCACGAGAGGAGCGAGGCTCCGAGGCGGATCTTGCGAGAGGCTGTCTGCGGTCGAAAGACCAAAAGTCTTTATGACTTGAAGTCATGTGGGGGCGCGTTGCGTCGAGAAGTTCTCAGAGAAGTCCACGCGATGTGGATTGACTCGTTCGAGAAGGAGGCTTGACGGAACAAGACCCGGAGGTTGACCGTTAAGCGTGAACACCCGTGTCCACGGTTTGGTGGGGGAGGGTGTAACGGGGTTACACGAGAGTTACCCGAAGGGTTATGAAGTGGGTACACACTGGCTAACCTAAATCAGTAGGAGAATCAGTACACGGCTTCAGAGCCACTGATTATGCATATGACTAGGGTTCACTATGCTAGGTAGTGAACCGGATACATTTACACCGTAGGCGGTTTGGCCGCGATAGAGGGAAATACATGCAGTTTGAGATTCACGGTTAAGAGTTAAGGGTTGACTCTTGGAGTCCGTAAGGTGTACGGACTCGTACGTTCTGGTATTAGAACGAGCTATCTTAAGCTGAGACTCTGTAAGTCTGTTAAGCTTCCTCTGACGCAAAGCTACGGCAGCCCCGCTGCAAAGGCGCTTCAACTTCAAGAACCGTTTCTGATTTTCCATTTGGACGCTACCTTCAAGCTGAGCGACCTTGGTTACCCTGTTATTACCTGTGGCTTCACTGATAAGCATCGCATTTACCGACTCGCCGCTCTATTCATCGTAAGTCAAAGAACACAGAGCGAGTACTACGAGGCGATTGCAACTTTCTCCAAGATTTTTCAGAAGCAGATGAAAACGAGACTCAGAATTGACACGGTGATGGGAGACGCGGAGGCCGCCCAGCTCAATGCGCTACAACCTATTACGGGGTGTGAGAACGCCACCTACTTGATGTTTTTTTTCACGTGCTTTACAACGTGCGTAAGCGCATCCGGCATCTACCTGATACCGTTCGTGGAGCGGTTTACAGTGGCATTCTTGATATACACTACGCAACTAGTCAAGGCCAGTTAATGACGGTGTGGGCTCGAGTGTCTAGCGAGTGAAAAAGGTGACAATCGACTGTGGAGTTTTTGTGAGTATTTCGATTCTCAGCAGCAGATTTTGGCGATGGCAGATCTATCATTCTCCTGGTGGATTCGCAACAACGAACAACCCATGTGAAGTTTTTAACGCTAGTATCAAGCGTTTCACGCTCCGCAAGGCTATGGGTACTCGTCGTTTAATTCTTAAGCTCCTGACTATTGCGGAATACACTTCAATTTGTGTTCAACATGGTACCACTTCCGCGCGCCCATCCCGCCGTAAGAGGCTTACAAGCTTGCGAACGTCCTAGTCGCATCGCAGCGTATTGCTGTGTTCAATACGGATGAGCAGTCGGTCGTACGAGTGCTGTATCTAGGCGATGGAATTGGAGATAATGAAGAAGTTTCCGGTATTGGAGATTCACAGACGGCCGCAACGCATCCAAATGGGGTTATTGTCTCTGAAGGTTGCTTGATGGTTGATGAGAAAAGGTCTGCAGCTACGTTTTACCGCTCTGCCGTGAAGTGGCCAGTCCGACAGTCTCACCACATAGGTATGCCACCAGGTGGGTGGGTAGTACGCATGAACACCTTCGAGTGTATGTGCCCCTACTTCACAAAAATTTTATCGTGCGCCCATGCGGTCGAGTTGCGTTTGGTCTAAGTGTTCCTGGTGTCGACGGGCAGCACCAAAAATTCAAGAATCAACGCATTCGCCGTAGCGGCCAACGTGGCCCCAAAACCAAGGTTCCTTTGAGGGTGCACAGCGCGCCTTCGACTTCGTTCGAACAGGCGGCTCCCAATGCAGAATTTGTGCTCGATTCATACACCGGTCCGTCGGAGCAATTTGAACTTGTCAGCTCTGCCGTACAGAATGTTCTGCACGACGATACGGTCGACCTCTATGATGTGGATCTCTCGGCGTCAACGGACGCAAGTATTTGCGGTGGCTACAGTCAATTTGACGCCAGCTGGAGCCAACTACTCAGTGCAGATATTACTGTGACAGGAATGCCTCCACACTACACAGGATTCGACATTTCGCTGTTAGCCTCGCCAAGCCCCACCCCATTCTCACAGCCCGGTGACATTTCACCGAATTGGGCAACTTCTGTCCTGCCACTGGTGTATCCGCCAGCCCAAGAACAAATGCCGGACCCCTCTTGCATCGCATGTCTAGACATTCAGTACCTGTTGAGATAAATCGAGGTTTAAATACACGTTTCGATTTACATGTTTAGAATACTCAACGCTTTTCGGCATACTGCAACCTCCAAATTACATTAGACCAGGAAACTACCACGTATACCACTGCTCAACACAATATCTAGGAGTATGAAACTGTCATTCGCCTGTTAGAGCAATTCAGAGCTGTGTTTTGTTTACCCCTTCCTCATAATTTTGTGGGTTTCACGAAAGTTGCCACGCAACCTAGTAATTCATAACCTTCTGAGCTAGCACGATGATAAACTTGTACTCATGACTGCTCCCCATTATAGACAGCTAAGCACTACAATGAGGGAAATTCTGGTTTATATGTGAAGGGTTTACATACACTTACATCAAATCTGATACTTTCCACACGATAACTTGCTCCCGCGCGCCAAATAATGCCTTTTTACGTGCACGTCATTACATTATATGATAGTAAGGTATGGCAGTTTTAAGCATATGAGCACAACAAGAGGGACATTCTGAATGAAAAGCGTAGATGGACATGAACTTTCATCAAATCCGATACTTTTCCCTCAATTTAATTTGCTCCCGCGCGTACAATATTGCCAGTATCGTGCATGACGTTACTGGAACACACTCAGCATGCTCACAGTTATGCGTCATGATAGTAAGGTTTGCGTCGATATCAGTTGGAAAGCCACCGCAACTAAAAACCTCTCACCTACTAACTATCGATTCTAAACAAAAATGGTAGATAATTTGCTTCCCAGCTATCAATAATGCTTGGCTTCGGCATTAAGTTGAGGTGTACAACTCGTGACAGTTTGCTCTACAAGTATTGATAACGATATGGAGCGAGCCGTCTTCACTGACAGCTATAAACAAGAAATCCAACGTAGAAAGAGTTCTTACCGTTCACAATAATCCATAACGATTTCCATGCGGAAGTCTGATAACGTATCGAAAACGCTGTAGTTGAAGTTTTTATTCGGTACAGCAAAGTGTTGCAAGCCTTTATTGTGTACGGCGCTTTCGCTTACGGTTCTCCTTCTTTTTAATCCCAGCAATGTCCGCATTCCGTCTAGCTGCAAATTTAGGATCCTCCTCTAGCTTAGCTATAAAGTTTTTCTTCTCGCACGCTTCTGTAGCTTACTATGTGTTTGTATTGATCCAACATTGATATTGTACTACAGTAAGTAGCATGGTAGGTTTACCTATCGCTACAGTAGCTAAGGGATTGAAAGTAAGAAGTTCTTACCCCGTAACTATGCGTTTGCGCTATGCTAATTCCGTTTCCTGCATGTATATCGGTCCAATAAACATGGTAGAGAAGGAATTTCTACGTGAACTCTTATAAAAAGCCCCAGCTCAATGAATGTCAGAATATCTACTATCCCAATAACGCATTAACCTACCGCTACATACTGTGCCTTAATAACAGATACGAAACACGTTCAAGCAAGTGTAGCTAAATATTCGCCCAAGATGAACACAGAGCGCCGCTGTAGCTATAATACTTAAGTATGTGCATTCCTAAATAATTACAGTAAAATATGCTATGCGAGTCAGTGAACGCCCTCCACTATATGTACGCGCACTGATGTCGATTACTATGCGCTTCTATCGCCTACTCTCCGCCGCTATCGCTAACTTATGCGCTACTATCGCTCACTACCATACCAATTATCGTAGCATGTGTTTATATGAAGCAAACCTCGCTACAGCGCTATTATACTAAGTAGTAGGGTGCCCGACCCCAGCGATAGCTGCTACTACTCGGCGGGCCCATTTTAATTAATAGCTGGTGTTCCAAAAAGTATAAGGCCAAGCGTCGCGCCAGGGTGACGTAATCGCCCCCGTTCCGCACGCCTCGTCGGCTCGCTGCACTACTCGCCGTGTTATTAGTACATAGTTGTAGGGCGGGCCCTGCGGCCCGCTAGAACGCACGCGGGTGCCGCCATCGCTGCGCTCGGCAGCTTGGGGCCGCCTTCGGCGTCCAAGACTGTGTATTTATGTTATGTGGACCACCCTAATTTTGTCGCCATGGGGCTTCAGACGGAATTACGCACACACTTGACGGTCGCTCTATTAGTTGTTGTTAGAATTATCATTTCATTGACCAGCACTTTGCTCATTTTTCATTTGGACGCGCAACGCACAAGCCAAGTGTCCACTACGCACCAACTCACTAACTCGCTAGACATGCCGCCGCACCCTGACGACGTCTACAACGAGGTCTCCACGCCCAAGGCCGACGTCGCCTTCGACGATGCCAACAAGGCCGCCGCGCTCCAGATCAAGCCCAACCGCATCCTCTACACGAGCGTGCTGCTGGCGCTGCTGCAGCCCTTCCAGAGCGGATGGTCCACCTCGCAGCTCAACCTGTCCGACTACAACAACACGGACGAGTGCAACGCGCGGCCCGTCGTCCCGGGCACATGCACGCTCTTCAGCGGCCACTCCAAGCTCGAGTGGACCTTCGCCGTGAACGCGTGGATCTTCGGCGCCATGTGCGGCAGTCTGCTCTGCGGCTACTTCAGCGACATCATGGGCCGCAAGAAGCTGCTCTTCTTCAACTGCTTCTTCATGTGGTCGGCGGCGCCGTCATCCAGGCCGTCGTCTCCAACATCTGGCCCTTCGCCGTCGACCGCATGGTCTCCGGCATCGCCTCGGGCGCCGCCACCGGCACCATCGGCGCGTACGTGAACGAGCTGTCGCCGCCGCACCTGCGCAGCCACCTCGGCCTGGGCCTGCAGATCTCCACCACCATCGGCATCTTGGTGCCGGCCATCTGCTTCTTCTTCGCCGACAGCGGCGATGGATGGCGCTACATGGCCGGCTTCCCCATCGTGCTGGCCGCCATCTACATGTTGCTTTCGCCCTCGCTGGCCGTCGAGAGCCCCGCGTGGCTGCTCATGAAGAACCGCCGCGAGGAGGCCAGGCAGGTCATCACGCGTCTGTACGGCGAGGAGCACGTGCAGACCGCGCTGGGCTGGCTCGAGGCCAACAAGCAGCCGAGCGAGGCCGAGGCCGGATACGCCGCCAGCTCGCAGCCGGCCGAGTCGATCTGGTCGCCCAAGTACCGCCTGCAGTTCCTCGGCGCGCTCCTGCTGTCCTGCACGCAGCAGCTCTCGGGCATCAACGCCGTCTTCTACTACTCAGGCAACATCTTCTCGGACGCCGGCATCTCGGACTCGCGCGTCGGCACGCTCATCATCGACTTCATCAACATCTGGCCGGCCTTCTTCACGGGCGTGCTGGCCACGCGCTTCGGCAACCGCAACATGATCCTCTGGGGCATCGCCGGCATGGTCGTCATGTCCATCGGCATGACCGTCGCCTTCCTCGTGGACGTGTCGGCGCTCTCCATCGTCTTCACGGCGCTCTACGTCATCGTCTTCGGCGTCACGCTCGGGCTGCTCGTCTGGGTCATGACGGCCGACATGTTCCCGGACTCGGTGCGCGCCAGAGCCTCGTCCATCTGCATCGGCGCCAACTGGCTGTGCAACCTCATCGTCGGCGTGGGCTACCCGTACCTGGCCGACGCCTTCGACGACTGGAGCTACACGCCCTTCACGGTGCTGCTCATCATCTTCTACTTCCTGTCGCTCATGCTCGTGCCGGAGACGGCGGGAAAGACCAACGAGGAGATCCAGGCAGAGTACGAGGAGCGCCGTCGCCGCTAAGCAGTCGTCAGTGTCGGATAGTGTACTGTAGCGGGAAAGATGCATGTTGCTTCGAGCCAATATCATGTTCGTTTCTATTGACCAGCAGTTTGCAAGTATGGTGCGAACAACTCCATCATGTGCTTGAGCTCGTTTTCCTGATCGGGGTCCGATAAAATCTGGAGCAAATACGAGGATCCAGATAGCTGTCGGACGACTTGGGTAGCAGTAGGAACGAGGTGCATCATTTGGGTATCTTGGCAATGGCGGACGTACGCGAGGAGGTGGTGGAGTACTTGCAACAAACACCGGAATACAGTGGCAGCAATGTTTCCTCTCGAAAGAGCCCTCCATGCAAAAAGCCGTACCCAGAGGTGCCACACACTGTTTGCACCGCAGCCAGTTGCAATTCATTGCTGTGGCTTCTACTGTACAGTACCCAAATTACTCCCGCATTGGTACTCGAAGCAGCATACGCCATGTGAAAATGCTCAACACTCGGGATATAACCATGACGGCGAAATACAGACAAGTCGATCGCGATTGCAATAAGCGACGCTTCGATTAATTTGGGGGGGGACTGCGCTGCGCTAAGAAAAGTGCCATGCTAGACGAGCATTTGCACAACAGCCAATGTAAATCGAGTTACAGATCAGCCTCATCGTCATCGTAATGCATGCGGCTCAGAATCATGGCGGTCTTGCCTTTCTTGCTTGGAACCAGTCGATTCAATGCATCTTCGAGATTCGAGAATCGGCGTATCGTTCTCTCAGCGATAATCTTCGCGGCAGTTGCGTCACCCACGCCCTCGAGTCGACGTAACTCATGGAATGAAGCTGTGTTGATATTTGGTGGCTCCAGAAAACTCCGATACGCGCGACTTGTAAACGGTCCAAAATATCGGCCAAACTCGTTTGCTGAAACAAGTCCACATCGTGGAGGAAGATCAAACTCTGTCGCTTGTGCTGGCGTAACGAGCAAAAACACATCCGAGCTTTCGTTTGCCGCTTTAGCTCGTTCTTTGGCATACGCGTCTTCGTGTATCTTCTGCTTGGTTTGAAGCAGCTTGCATTGAATCACTTCGTTGCATTGGACGTTTTGACGACCGACCTTCAATTGAACTCGCATAAATAAGTCGCCAGCTGAAGCACTAGCACCGTTGATGACGATCGTATCCATATCTGAAATCTTCACGCCGCCATCACGATTTGTGAAGCACGTCGAATCATCGGAACTGGATTTTGTATCTTCTTGGCGCAGTGCTTCCACGACAGTGCGTGAAGTCGGCTCTGTTATAATAATGTCTTGGATAGCACCAAAACGAGCGCCAGCGTGGAAACTGGACAGTGCGACCGGAGTCTCGCAGTAGGCGATCGATTTCACTCGACGGTAAAACGCCACGAATTGTTCAAATCGCTGCCATACCAAAACCGTACGCGTGAGATGGTCGTCGAAATTATCTACTTCACCGAGCTTCTTCGGGAGTTTCTGCATCAGCAGCACAAGAAGAATGAAAGCGCATTCCAAATGGCCTTCCGCGCCCCATCGGAACAATCCGAAGCTTCGAAGACAATCTACGGTCATGTCCGTGCGCCCAATACGATCAAACAGCTTATAACGACGACGAGAGAGGATTGCGGCGAGCACTTCTCGGCAATTGTACGGATCTTGGAAAAACGGAGACGCAAAGATATCACCATATTGGAGTCGCAACGCATCGCACAGTTTCTCAAACATCCATGTTGGGTCCATTTCCTCCAATTGGTCTTTCGTGTAGTGGCTCAGAAAGAGTTGTAGTGTTTCCAGAGCTCGTCCATGCCCACCCATGTCGTCTACCAACTGCTTCTCGATCCTTGTCTTCGTTGGCAGGACTTCGTGGCCACGTAATGGAGGTGGGACTAGAAACACGCGCTTCTGAGGAGAGTCCGAAAGTGCCTTATCGACGGGACTTTGAATGGTTGCCGAACAAACACAAACAGCAAACGCTCTGGACGAATTCAAGAAGCTGCAGACTGAAGCCAACACGCGGTAGAAGTCGCAGCTTTTGGTACCATCATTGACCAGCTTCTGGAGGCCATCGACACACAAAATCACCGTCATTTTCTTCACATCGTCAATCCCTTTCAGTTTGGCCAAAATGCCAATTGCCGCCTCAATATCGAGTTCCAGAGATCGATATGACTTCAACGTCTTGGCAAACTTCTTCCAGTTTGGCCGATCCTTTGAGAGTTGGTAGAGCATTCGGTAGCTGATGTCGAACTCAGGATTGTCACGATCAAGTAATGATCCAGTCGCCGAGGTGCCATTTTCGAACGTCACACTAAACACAAATGCGTTCTCCATTCTCTCTTTGAGCTTTCGGTTGTTCGAGCGGGCAGCAGCTGCACACATCAAGCCCTTCATTTGATCCAGCATGCGCGACTTTCCCGTGCCTGGTCCACTCAGCACTAGGTTGATGGCGTGATTCTGCTTGTCCTCGTTCTGGAGATACCAGGCAGTATAATGCAGTGCAAGCGGCTCCACAAGATGACCCGCAAGCTCTGATTCCCCTTGATATGGCCAATTCTGTCCAGAACTTGCGCAAAGTCGCTTTGGCTCCTTCCACTCCAGCGAATTCAACAACTTCTCCCACTGCGCCTCTGGTGATTCCACAGTCGCGCCACGCTGTGGCGGCGCCAGCAGCGGAGGGAAGTCTCTCGTGTCGAAAAATCTCCTCTCCTCGTCCACTCCCGCATCCACTCTGCGCTTTTTCATCGGAACCACCACCAGCACGTTCACCGGGCCTCTCCCTGCTGCTTCTTCTTGGGCATCCACTTCGCTGACAACTTCATCCGACAGCCCCACACTAAATAGCTTCGCCCGCACCACTTCCAACCGCACGAGGCCCGTGATGTCCGCTACGCCGCTCTTCACGTCTGCCTCCGTCAGCCACACACCATCCCTCTTCGCCACGTAGAGCTCCAGCTTGTCTGCGTCGATGTCCTTGAAGTCGTTCGGCTTCTTCGCCTTGATCGCGTCCTTCAAGTCGTCCACCGTGTCGCTCTCATCTACTCGCACCGAGAACGCGCTGCCTGCCACACCTACGACCGCACAGTAGAGCTTCACCATCTTTCCTCGAGCCCGCAGAAGGGAGGGAGAATTTCTTGCGTACTTAAGCGGACATGAAGGTGCCTGTGTGCAATAGATTTTCAACCAATGATACGCCGCACTGGTCCGAACTATTATTAATAGAGAGCTTTCGCAAACAGACCTATTGCAAAAAGGATTTGCTTCGGATTCGGATTTTGGGTCGGCCATTTCGCAGCTACTCCTCATCAGAATACGGAATGCATATCTATGGGGTTGTGTGGAAGCACTACATACAAGCAAACAGTCAATATACCAACGCTTGGAGGTGTGAGAGTGTCTGGGAGGGGTACCAGCGGCTGCTCCAACACCACAGCCCCCGTGGTCTCTCTCCACAGTCCTGCCGCCCTACTCGAACACTGCCCTCATCTGTGCACTGGCCTACCACTGCCGTACCTTCGCTATTGCCGTCGCTTTGGCCGACGCTCTTCGTCGCTGCTCCAAAGACCGGAATCCCGTGCGTTCGGCGCAACTCGTGTATATTAGTCTTGACTCTCCACAATCCTATGAAAAACCGCAACTGAGGGTCGAGTCGGCCGACCGCCGCTCAGTATCCTCCTACTCAATCCTATCCCCGCTGTATCTACTCCTACGCACGGGCGCCTGCCTACTTACTGGACCTCTCCCTCTTCGACTCCTTCTCCATGCTCGTGGCCTCACAGCCTCACGTTCCTGTCCTTGATCTCGCCTCTCCTCGCTCGTATACTTCTTCGCTCTTGTCCCGGCATGTCGCCCACACACTGCGATCTTCTGTCGTCGCCATCACCAACTTCCACTGCTTGCTAAACGACCGCCTTCAGCCGGTGGCACTAGTCCACTGGCTTGCCCTCTTCATCACACGCCTCCTGCCGTACACCACGACCCGATCTGGCCGATGTCCACCACACTACTCGTCTGTCAAGTCGATCACCAGCGCGCGATCGTCTGGCGCTGCCTGTTCGTGGCCCTTCGTCACGTGACAGGCCATCCAACTACACCGTTCTGAAAAATGGGCTCGTTTTGGCAGTGAGCCCAATCTCGGGCCGATTGCCAATTAAGGGCCGATTCTTTTGATCAGTAAATGCTCGATACACCTCATCAGATGGAATCTGATTGGTCGCTTATAGTATACCATACGAATGACAGATGTCAGTTCTATAGTGAAACCCAAGTCAAACGAATCGGCCCTTAATTGGCAATGTGACGGGGTCACCCAGCACAATGCACAGAGGAAGTGCGTGTGGATATTACTATACAGGTGAACAGCAGTTCACCAGTTCCCGGCCTCAAAGGGAACGGTTTGCTACAAAGGAGTAGGTTATAAGGCTGACTGTATTTTGGTAGAGGTTAACTTGGTCGTAATACAAACTACAAGTTAACTATACAAAAGCCCACACAAACTCAAATGGTTGGCTTGCGGAGCTACTGGTACCATGTACCATGTACCATGTACTCGGGAGAGTGACACCCGTCACTCTTCATTTAATGGGTACACTTGATTGTACCCCGTTACATCCTCCCCCACTTATCTGAGAATCACATCTGATTCTCCAATCAGCTTCGAGAGAATCCGAACACCCAAAGGTCGGATTCTCGGGCGCTGCCGCCGCAAGGCGGGCGCGCCTCATCGTCACGCCCACAGTGACTTGTGCCCGCAGCGGGCACCCCGCGCGGAACCCCCTTGCCCTCGGCGATGTTGGCCGCGAAGCCGACGTGTTTAGTGGCCGTGTTCACAGCGCTAGCAGGCGCGGAGTGCCTCGGCACGGGATGCATGTGCCTCCAAACTTGCGGTGTCCCTCGTAGACAACCAGCAGTTGGCGTCGCATGGCCGTCGGGCCCCGCTGGCACGTTCGTGCTGCAGTGCCTCCCGCGAGGGACAGCACCTTTCCGGTCAGCGCGTAGCGTAACCATGGAGAGAGCTGTGCTGCTCATCTCCGGCCATGACAGTGGCCCGACAGGGCCCCGCTCGTCACAGCACGGTGTGCCGGTCGGCCGAATACGTCGGCTCGACTCATGGGCTATGGTCAAGCGCTGACCACAGCCATGAAGCGTCATGCTTCAACGTCGTGTTTGCTTGAGCGACCATGGCTGCTTCCAGCAACCCGCTCATCATACAGAGCAACGCGGCGGACTTGTCTAAAGCCCTGCAGCGCGTCACGGCCACCACGTCGCCGACGCTAAGGTGTCTTCCTTCGACACCAGGGTACCGCAAGGGTACTTCATCGTGGGGTGGGGTGTATTGCCCTCCGTCACCGGCGATCGCATCCTGCGTCGCGGCGACCAACACCAGGCCGATGTGCGTGCAAGACCGCATGGCACACAGTCCATACAGGACCTCAAGGTGTACGAGAGCACCACCACATACACCAAAGGCACGTCGTGTATGGCACGTACCACGACAGCCATAAGTGCCTCGTGCACCTCAAGTGCCACGTGTACAAGTAGTGTCGCGTGCACTAGGGGTACCTCGCGTACACCAAGTGCCACGCGCACAGTGAGCGTCACGCACCGCGACTATTTCACAGGTAGTATGTGCCACGTGCACGCGTATGGCTTCGCGCCTTACAGGTGCGGCATGTGCCGCGCCAACTGTGAATGTCTGCAAAGGCAACACGTTCGGGTTCTCCCCTCGTGAGCAACACCCATGCTCGGGACTGATGGCTACCTGGCCGGTAGACGTACCGCGTCCAGTGTTGCAACAGCAGCACGCTGGGGTATGGTGTTGTGTATGTACACATGCCATCGTCCGCGGACCAAGCCGCAGACTGGCTGCCATGTCTTTGCCTGACAGAGGCAGCCTTCCAGCAGCGAATGCGCGCGCCATCTTCGGCCCAGCAGCGACAGTAGCCGCTGCCAAGGTTGCTGGCTATCGGTCACCATGACCGTGGGACCTGAGCAGCGATGCATCAGGTCCAGCACCTTCGTGCAATACTTCGCGAGTGACTACACCATGCAGCCACTACACTGGCTTCTACGACGAAGCAAGTCTCATGCCAGAGACCTCGGGAGGAAGGGCACTTCCGATCCCCTCCCCCACTTACGATTTGAGCCCCGGCGGTCAGGCGCCAGCCGGCCGCCTAACTTCGCGCCGCCCTGCAGCACTGAGTCACTGTGCCAGCAGACTCTGGTGGCACGGGCAGCTACCCTTCTTTGGCTCTGGGTCAACATCGGCGACCAGGGCTTGGCATCTACCAGCCTGGATGCAGTTTGAGTCTGCGTAACTTGACGTATTACTCAGTTACCCACGTCTTCGGGCAATGACACCCATGACAGCGTACGGCTTGTCCTGCATTCAGCGTAGCTGCATGGCATGCACGCATACTCAGACTCAGCCATCTCGGCACCGAGTCATGGACACTTGTTGTCCCAACGCCGCACAGTGCTAGGCGCGACAGACCGTACCAACGATCCCTGCCGCGCAGCGGCCTTTGCCTTCAGACCGAGCATGCTCCTGCATGTGGTCATTGAGGTGTCGCCCTCCGGCAGACACGTTCCAGTCGTGATCGACTATGCTCGCCGAGTCGGCGGCGACGCAACATGCATCGCCGCAGGTACGTCGTGTACCCAAGCCACGTCTTCTGTGCGCATGGCCACAGCTGCGCTGGTCGACACCCAGTCGAACGTCATCCATGATGACCGGGTGCCAAGCCCTTGGAGGAAGTAAGTACTCCTCCCCCGCTTAAAATCAAAGCCGCGCGGCACCTTCAAGAGGACCGTACAGCTATGACATCGTGACGGTGTCACGAGCCTCTTAAACTCCGTGTGGTACGCGAGGAGACCCAAGTGACCTGATCACTAGTCTTGGTCACACTGACCGTGCGTGGAACTAAGTTACCCACGCTGAAGTCGCTTCGAGCGACTCCTTTCGGCTCATGCGGAGCCTTACGGCATCGTGTGGAACTACGTTACCCACACAGAAAGCGCATCATGCGGCTTCACAATCAGTCACCGTCTGAGTGACGCGTGTGGAACCATGTTACCCACACAGGAAGTGCATCGTGCACCTTCCTCATCAGTTTAGGTCTGAGTTGACCTGGTGTGGAACTGGGTTACCCACACAGGAAGTGCCTGCAGGGCCTTCCTCTTCAGTTATGGTCTGGGCGACTGTGTGTGGTACTTGGTTACCCACACAGGAAGCGCGTGCAGCGCGTTCCTCTTCGGTTAAGGTCTGGGCGACCGTCCGTGGTACTTGGTTACCCACGCCGGAGGTGCCTTGAGCGGCCTCCTCAGTATTACATGCTCTGTGCGGAACTAAGTTACCCGCTAGTTAGTGGTCCTTGGTTACCCACCTGGTGGTGTCATCGAACACCACCCTTGTCAATGCTCATGCCGAGCAATGACTCTCAGCACTGGAATTGGTTGTTGAGGCAGCTCCACATGCCAGGCATAACAGCCCTCGGTTGCAGATACACTGCACCTTCTTCATGGAGATCATCATGTCAGTGATGCCTCCTTCCTTCTTCTTCGTCTTGTCGGATGCATCCAGCGCCCTGGCGGTCCCATCGGACGCCCTTGTGTTTGTCCAGAGGTGGGAACATGACTCACCAATGCTCTGTCAGACACAGAGGGCTGACTTAGCCTCAAGGCGTTGTCGCGCTACTCGACCGAGAGCCTGTGCAGCTTGCACGGCGCACTCAGGGCCAAGTCATACTTGCTCAAGCCGAGGGCATGTACGGTTCCATGCCCAGGGCCGACTTCGGCACGATGTCCGGGACCATGTACGGTTCCATGTCCGGGACCATGTGCGGTTCCATTGCTGTCAGCGCCCTCGAGCGCGGCAGCCAGGGTCACAGCGGACCCCAAGGTTCTTCTTCGGCCCAGCCTCAGTCAATGAGACCTGCCCTTGTGCTTCGACTCTCTCACAGAGTCTTGGCACTTGTGTCGTTATTCCAACCGACACATCTGGCGACGTGCGAACATCCGCGCGACGTCCCAGACTCAATCATGTCTAGGGATACCATTATCCCCGTACACTCACGTGTACTACCGACAACCCACCGTTGTCCTTCACCAATGCGAGCGGCAGTGCTCGCAAGGGACCCCGGGACTCTGTGGTGTACGCCTTCCGTACACCCATCACAAAGACTCGGGCCAACCCCAGCAAGGCCCTCGTCCTTACTGGTGGTTGTGTCCCCCTTAAGCACCTGACGGTGCATGGCGTCGGCGCCCCCTTGACCCTCTGGTCTTCGGGTAGGTCTTCTTCACAGAAGAAGACCTACCCGTTGAAAATGGACTGCATATATGTTGTGCGAGGTTTCTAACACCAGCTGTCAAATTATAACATGTAGGATAAATGACGCGATGGTGGTATTTTATCGTGATTATGAGCTTATCCCCAGCTGCTATCCTGATTTGGCCAATTGGGTAGTTGTAAGACAACTACGTGGCAGGCTTTCAATTGCAAACAAAATTGCAAGAAATAGAAGTATTTTCCAACAGCCGAAATGAACGGGAAGGAGTTCAGATACGCTAAATACAGGCATCCTGACAGGAAGGGAAACAACTAAGTAAGACTACTGTAGACACAAAACAATTCATGTATTGATACTCATTAACTCTCTTACTTCGAAGTACCTTACATATGAAAGTCAATGGCGCCTTGGTCAAAGCATTATACTCGGTTGTTGGCGTACTAATACTACGGCACGACCTGAGTCTAGCGTAGTCGTTGCCCACGACTCCTTGGCCCAGACGTTGTTGTTTCTGCGCTGGTTTCGAGGAATACGTAGTCTCCATAAACGAATGGAATGCAATAACTCACCACATACATATAAGGATGAGCAGCATGTGAGGTCTTACTCTGGCGAGCAGCTATAATATATAGGTACAGGTGATAGCTTACTAAAAATATCTAGAAACGACTAAGGGGGTGATAGTGAGACAGTGGTGGGCTACTACGTAGTATTTGTCCTTGCAGAATGTCTCCTCGTCCAAATAGTCGGCCCACATGAACATCTTTCACATTGCCAGCACTCAGTAGGGCAAAAAGATGAGCTGATAAGATATCCAAGAAGACAAGTTGAGCCATGATCCACTGTTGCGGTTGTTTGGTCCAGGTCTTGCGATTCGGTCATATAATCAATATGTTCAAATCCTACGCCTGATCTGCATAAGAACCAAAATAAAGGCAACCTGCTCAGTTGACGGAGCTCGTTCAAACACGTTGGAATCGACTGCAACGCGTCCATGTCGTGGCACAACCAAACGAGAGCTGGCTTGCCTCAATCCTTGAGCGTCAAGTTGATGTGGCGTAACGTCGTGAATGAAGAGTGGACAGGCAGGCAAGCGGCCTGTCCAACTTGAACCAGACAAGTCGATCGATTGGTGGTCCAAGTTGAAGTGCACGCGAACAGCAAAAAAGTGCCAAACAAATCTGATAGGGCATGAATATACATGTAAGTACATTTATCAGCATAAGCACAGAGAGATGATACCTGTGTGTGTGAGCTAAGATTTGCGAGCTTGACAACGCTCTTGTGCTGCAATAAAGCAGTCAAGTGGTTGAGCAGCAGCTTGGTTTATGAGTTGAACCTATGGAGCTCTACCAAAACCCACACAAACTCGATATTTGCTACGGTCATAAACATGGCGTATTTCTCGTAGCAAATCCGTCGTAATTTGTGGAGACGAATTGACGTCTCCACGAGCGCAAATGAAGCGTACCATTATTTTGGTTCAATTCCCAATCTCCAACTATAGTAACTTCAGTATAGGGATTTTTACTCCGGTGTAACCAGCTCGGCTTACCATTTCTCATAGTAGTAGTAGTAGAAGAGATTTTATTTGGACTACTATGATAGCCATTAAAATCCTAAAGAAGATTTCATCATCACCACTAATGGCGATTCTCTTGGTAGCTGCATGCTGCTTACCCGTACTTGTCCTGGTTGTTCAAGGATTATTAGAAAACTGTCGATACAGTCCTCCATCAACTTGCCTTGTTCAACTGTTTGTGGACTCATCTTGTCCCTCCTTGCTATTGCCTCCAACTGACGAACTCCCGTCACCCGGAACTCGACGCAACTTTGCTCTACCGATGTTGGTTCTCCTTCAAGATGAGCCTGTTGCGCACCATCCATTGCGTTGTGCTGCAAACGGTAGCTAAAATTCCCCAAAGACGTTTCAATGTGTCTTCATGCTTGGCCGTGCAAGACCCCGCCGTGAGGGCCACTCTCCTCTTCAGTGAGTCCGGAATCGGGGGAGCTTGCCGTGATGCACAGTACTCTAGGTACCCGAGGAGGCCACTGTCGGTCACGTCAGCGCCACCCCAGTGTCTAGTTAGCCATTTCCAGCATGCCACCGCGCACGGACATTCCCAGAAAATGTGACTCTGGGTTTCCTTTTCTTGGGTACACGCGCTTGTTTTCCTGCATGAATTGCTGTGTTGTCTCCCTTCAAAGAACAGGTTTAGCTGTCTGAGGGCCATTCTGTACACCGTCCACACTTGGTAGGGAGTTAGGGAATGGTCATGGCTCCATAACTGCTTGGGTCGTTGTTGCTGAAGCCCACGTTGCCACTGGTCTTGTTTCGCCTGCGTCTCCAGTCTCTCTATGACCACGCCAATACCGCCTCGCAATTCTGTCCGAAATCGTTCGAAGGCTTGTCGTTTGAGCCCCTTTGATACATGTTTGTTCTTGATTCTCTCCTCCACAGTCCAATGATACTGATGAAGGCTCGGATGTGCGTAAAATACTACGCCTTCAACTTGGGCCCACTTCTGTAAAGTCTGCGTAGTTTCTTCTGTGCAATTCTCCACTTCTATCTCCCAGTTGATGCCGTTGGGTAGTTGCCTGCAATTGAGTTGCCAGCTCGCCGTGCCTTGTGAGGTTGCTGCGCCTGAGAGATGCCCCGTTGGCCTTAGTCGCCACGACACATTGCGTAGCCATTGCGGCAGGTGCCTTAATTTGAATGGTGGATAGAGCCGACCTTCTTGCCAATCTCTCTGAGATAGTAAGATTACTATAATCGCCCACTTGCACATGGTTCTGTGACGGTGCCGACGCCCTTCATTTGATTTCTGTGCGACGCTAAACCAAAAACGCCCCTCACCTTCTTTTCGAGGTTCAAGTTGATCGAGAGTACCATCCCTTATCCGTGAAAATCTTCTCCCGCGTAACAGAAATCCAGATGGTGCTGTCAACCATGGGTTATCACTCCAACCGAAGGTCCCCCAAAATGTTTTAATGTGCTCCGGCCACGCTAGCCGCGAGGGCTCTACCTCATAATTCAGCTGAATCACGAACCCGCCATCGGTATCCCACCAACTAGTGCTCGCCTCTAGGATTGCTGCGTAATTAGTCTCCACTATTTCTTCTCGTTGCTTTACTTCTTCGTCCGCTGGCTGGAGCGATTCACTGATGAGCTGCATTCCTGGCTCTACTCTCTGATTTTTTGCATTTGACGTTCTTGGCGAGACCGACTTGTTTGGGGCCTTGAGTACCCAGAACTTCTAGGTTTGCAGGTAAAGATCGGGTTTTTGAGTCAGCCATAGCAATGCATGTTTCGCTTGCTGTGTTTTCACCGTTAACGGGACAGACACCAAACCGATCCCTCCTGCCTTTCTTGGTAGAAACACTAACCCAGGGTTAATCTTGTGTTTTCCTCCACTCGTTTCCACGTGCGCTTGCCAAAGAACATTTTTCTGAAGGCACTGAAGTTTTTTCTCCGCCCACTTTGGTAGTTGGAACGCTGCAGAAGTGAAAGTCACGGCTGGAAGCACCATCGCATTTAGTATTGACGCTCTGTCTTCTACCGAGGTAGCTACCCTGCACGCGGTGGCCAAACGTCTTTGTATTTTGCGAATTCGATCTGCCCAATTCACATCGCGCATCTCCGCAGTCCGTACTTGATACCCCAGATACCGGGTCGTCTCTCCATGTCTGAGAACTGGGATACCCAAAATCGTCTTTCTGTACTCGACGGCGGTGTTCAAACTTATAAGCACGATTTTCGCCGGCTGCACTCGGAGCCCCGAAAACTCACCAAACCTTCGGACTACCTTGAGCACACGCGGCAGTTGCTTTGCCTTTTGCATAAAAACCGTCGAGTCGTCGACAAACGCAGAGAACAAGTGCTCTCGCCGCTCCTTGTCACCCGGCACTGCTACACCCGCAATTTGCGATTCTTGTGGCAGCGCTAGCCCAAGGATCTCAGCAGCTAAAATGAAAAGCAAAGGTGCCAGCAGGCACCCCTGCCTGATACCAGATCCTATCGGGCTCTGATCCGATAGCTCTCCATTGAACATAAATCTAGCTGTTGTCCCAGCGTGTAGGTTTCGCATCACTTCCACAAATTCACTACAAAAGCCGAACTTGCTTATTACTGCAAACATGAATTCACGATCGAGCGTATCGTAGGCCTTCTTGAAGTCCAGCAGTAATATGCCGGCGCTGTCTTCTAAGTCTGCTAATGGGTCCGCCACCGCACTTTTTAAGTGAGCTAACATCATCATTACCGTCTTGTTCATATTCCTCCCATGTACAAAGCCTTGTTGCGAGTCTCCAATTAATCGCCCTAGAAACATTTGTAGTCTTGTTGCCAACACCTTAGCCACAATCCCGCAGCTGGTTTGCAATAGAGTTATCGGCCGGTAATCCATAGCGCTCGTCGAGTCACCCTTTTTCCTCAACGGAATTATCAGACCCCTCAAAAAAGTCTGAGGTGGGCGCTCGCCTCGAAGGATCGAATTTCCTACTCTCGTCAGGATCGGCGCCATTACGTCTTCCATATCCTTGTAAAAGTCGTTGTTCAGTCCATCTGGTCCTGCCGCTTTTTCTCTATTCAGCGCTCTGATAGCCTCCACGACTTTGTGTTCGTCCATGTTAGTAGTAAGCGCTGCGTTGTCCTTGTCGGTTACCATTTCTCATAACAATTTTGATCAGCTCAATACAACGATACAATCAAACACGATGGTGTATCAACTTTTTTAACAGTGAAAGCGTAGCATGGGTTCGTTACACTGGTTCTGCCTGTTTGATTGGCTCAAATGTTCGCCCACTTCTCGCACGGCGGGCGCACAAGGGAACAGCATACCGTCGCTGCGATGGCTGCCTTCGTCGTCATGAACGCAGGCGCCAATCTAGGCGGGACAAGGTGGCAATTTGGGCGAGACCGCAAGCCGTCACAGCAGACCCTGTAGTCATGAAAACTACTTTATCAATCGGTAGACTCACTCGGAAGACTCGATACTAACTGGTCTGAGCAGTGGCGGTCGTCCTGGTACTGGGGCCCAAGTGCTGCCACGCACGGCACTTGCAGTCATATGACCAAGGTCGCGAGCGCGGATACGACGTCTTTGGTCTGCTCGCCGCTAGCAGCAGAGGCGGGCTGTGAGCTTTCGTTGCGCTCAACTAAGACATATTATAGCAAGGGCTTTGTATTTGAGGTTGTTGTACGCGCCATCTCGTGGTCCAGTCGCCGAGAAACGCCGACAGGAGCACGAGCTCGTCCGGAGTCCCAGAGCGGGAAGGCAATGCGAGCAGCAGGAGATGGCAAGGTGCCCAGCAGCGGCGTCTAAGTGCCCGCACCTGCTGGGGAGGAATTGCACCTAGTCCAGTGGTGGTAATATGTAGGAGAATGCACTTTTAAATACCTATTAAAATAGGTGTAGACGAAAAAACTCATGAGCACTTTCAAGCTCCAGGACTCCTCGGTCCATACGCCGTCGTCTGGCAAAAGCACTTCAAAGCCTTATTTTTGACCAATTACATACCTCTGTCTATGCGTCATCTGGTCTGGTTACGGAATCTCGACACAAGTCAATCACCACTCATGCTGAGCGTTCACGCCCGCGCTCTCAAGCTCTGCGTCGCGCGCCCAAGCCGTGGACAGCAGAGCCAGCGGAAGAGACTGAGAGTTTACTACCACCCAAAGTTGATTGTACGTGCACCTTACGCATTGTTTGTTACTGACGATAAGTGAGTGTAGCCATGTATTTAGCACTCAAATGTGATGGTTTTGGTCGGTATCATCGGTTGTAGCAAACACGACGCAAACGAGGACATATTTGGCACACAAATTGCGATTTGTGACAGCGTTTGTGTTAAGAGCTCCTATGTATGCCACACAGTTGTTGTATCTGATTTGATTTTTGCGATCTTCCAGCGACTCACATTGGCGAGAGTCGCCATTCGCCATTCGTCTCCGCCGAGGCCAAGCTCAAGCCGAGGACATGCTGCGCTGCGTCCTCCCCCTCCTGCTGGCGTCGCTGCCGCTCACGAGCGCGTGGCTGCCGCCGATCGTGGCAAAAGGCAACAAACTCTTCGACGCGGAGACGGGGCTGGAATTCCGCATCAAAGGTTTGGCGTTGATATCGATTCGTGTATCACTCCCCTCGACCTAACTGCAGCGGATGAATCCCTGTTGGCAGGCATGGCGTACTACCCGCGGCCAAACAGCGGCGAGCTGGCCGACGTGAGCAACTACGACTGGGCGTCGGACGACCACGAAGACGTGTGGGCGCCCCACCTCGAGGTCATGCAGGACCTGGGCGTCAACACCATCCGCCTCTACTCGGTGGACCCGAGCAGGTCGCACGACAAGTTCATGTGCGCCTGCTCGCAGGCCGGCATCTACGTGTCGGTGGGCATGGCCGCGCCCTGCAAAGGCTGCTCCGTGGCCGACGTGGCCGCGCCGGACTGCTACCCGGACGGCATGTTCACGCGCATGCAGATGGTGTACAACGCCTTCGCCGTGTACGACAACACTCTGCTCTTCAGTGTGGCCAACGAGCCCAACCTCATCTCGGTGGACGGAGACACGGGCGAGTCGGTCATGCCCTGCGTCAAGGCCATGATCCGAGACATCCGAGCCTACGCGGACGGATGCGTCGGCAGCTTGAGGGAAGTCCCCATTGGGGTGGAAATGGCGGATATCCCGCCCAGAGCTCAGTGGCTGCAGTACTTCGACTGCACGGCTAGCAACGGCAGCTCCAGTGGCAGCGGAGATTCCAGCGAGAGAGCGCAGTGGATGGGATTCAACCCGTACGTTGAGTGCGACCCGACCGGACACACCGAGTACTCGCAGTCCACGGGCCTGAACACGCTCATGAAGGACTACAAGGACGCGGCATACCCACGCCCCATCATGTTCGGAGAGTTTGGCTGCAACACGGGAGACAACACCATGGACGGATACGAGAACCAGCGCACATTCTACGATGTGCGTATTGTATTTGCTGTCTATGTGGTTGGGGAGAGGCTGGTGGAGACTAACTCGCCGGTTGAATTTTGTTGTGTTGTTTCGTTTCACAGGCCAAGTGGATGAACGAGGAAGAAGACATGACGGTCGAGATCGTGGGCGGCAATGTATTCGAGTTCTCGACCGAGATTGCCAATCTAGAGGGCACAAAGAGTAGGTTTGGAGGGTTTGGCGCTGGAGCATTGGTGCGGAATCTAATGTTTGTTTGTTGTTTCGAGTAGAGCTGACGAAGAAGGCGGACAAGGGCAAGTACGGCGTGGGCTACTTCCAGCCCGACAATTGTGACAACGAGAACACAACGTGCGAGTTCACGCCTTACCCTGAATACGACAACCTCAAGGAGGCCTACACGACCACCAAGAACTCGACTATCGAGATGGATTCGTTCACGCCTGCGAGGACTTCTGCGCTCAAGTGTCCGTCTGCCCTCTCGATGGACCTCCCGGACACGCCCGATGGTAAGTATCTGCATCGCGCGAGGCTACAGTCCAAGCATTCGCTAACAACTTGACTATTGTGCTGAGCAGTCGAAAAGCTGTCTTGCTCTGTGGCGCAGCCTGTATGCGACGGCCAGAAGTCCAACAACTTTGACTCGAGCACCTTGGCCGACCTCAACGACGGCAAGACAGCGAGCAGCGGGTCGTCGACGGCTACGAAGGACGGAAGCAGCGATGCTCACACCGTCGTAGCCGCATCCGTCGAGGCACTGGCCCTCGTTCTCGCTGCCTTCCTGGCGCTGAGCTAAGTTCCCAGCTCCGATCTTTCATTGTGTAGCGATGCAGGACGCGTTTCACGTCACTATATATTAGTTGCTAATGAACGGAAGTAGATGTGAACGACAAAAAGTCCCATGCAGCCAGCTCCCGTTGCCTAGGGGAAATTGGACTCCATGTCCCCGCTGCTAACGGCAGCTTCGCGGCGCTCACCGAATACGTAGTGCCCCGCCACGTAGCCTGCAACGACCCAGAGTAGCAGCGTCAAGTCGTACGTCATGGACACGAGCATGAGCATGTACGCCACTAGGAGCGTCACGCCGTGCAGCAAGCTGTGCACGCCGTGCTGCGTCTCCGGCGACAGCATTCGGAACCACGCAGGACCGCACGAATCGGCCAGCGGCATGCTCTGCGCCGTCGACCGCAGCAGCTGCGCGCTCTCCGTCGCGTGAGGCGCGTTGCTACTGAGCAGACGCTTGACGCTGCTCTCCTTACGCAGCACGCGGCGCAGCTGCAGCAGATACTCATTGAACACCGCCACCAGCGCCACCAGAATACCACCGAAGATGTAGCGCACGCGCGAGTCCAGCACCCACCCGGGGAACCACAACAAGATGCACGGCGTGGAACTGCCGCTGAAGGAGAAGCCGTTGAGCATGGTCGTGCCAGGCCCCGAGCAGAACCCGCGCTCTTGTCCAGCGGTAGCAGCGGCGGCGGCGCCTTCCTTGGCGGCTTGGAACGACAGAATATCGCTGTAAACCTCGCGCGCGTGGGTCATACTACACGTGTGCACTGCTTGCTCTCCGTGCATCATCAGCACCTCGGGTCCGCTGGACACTGACGACTCCATGCCGCACACTGGACACAGCACGCTCCCCTCGCTCTCGTCGTGGCGGTGGTCGTGTGATGTCGGGGGAGACGCCGCGCCCTTCAGCCCCAGTTTCTGCAGGAACAATAAGGAAGGATAAGAGGAGAGAGTTAGGACTCTGCTCCGTGTGTACGTCTCCGCGTGCGGTGCAGGACGTACCGGGTCCTTGAGGAAGGCGTCGAGCGAGTCCTGGCTCGCGAAGCGCAGCTTCTGGCCGTTCTTGAGCTGGAAGTTGTAGGCCTGGCTCATGACCATCTCGCCACTCACCGGGTCGTCCTGCAGAGCGAAGAAAGCAGCAGGTTAGAGGTGGATTGCTGCTGCGGTTGATGCAGGTGGTTGATGCACGCGCACCGGCATGTCGTCCATGTCCATGGCGGAGGCGGCGCGCGCCACCCCGTGCAGCGCCAGAGTAGCCACCAGCAGCAACGCGAGGAGAGGTGAGAGGCGGCGGCGGAGTGTCCCGGTCATGGTGTGGGCGAGCGGAAGCGGGTCTGGGGCTGTGCGGCCGCAAGCAAAAGCTCTTCGCGTCTTGCTCTTGATGGTGCAGCTTCTCGACTGACGCTGACGACTGGAAAACGGGAATGACAGGGACGCGAGACTTGATATGTAATGCGACGAGTGAAGTATGGAAGTTCACCTTTCAAACAGCATATTAGGTGATTGTTGACTCGTTCAAGAGTGCTCGACGAGTTTACCAGCCTAAACTTTAGGCTAAAGCGGCTTGCCCGCCTCAACAACACTCCCCGGTAGAGTTAGACCTAGCTAGTCTTGCCTACTCTAGCGTTGGCTGCGTTCACATTGGGCCAACAGGATCTACATTGATGCAGACTGAACTTGGTATTTATTGTTGATGTGCCAATCCAACTGTTGCAAGTCTGTCGGGAGAGATACCGCTTAGGTGAGCTTCGCTTGGGCTGCCCAAGTTGGGCATTGCTTGTGTTTTTTTACAGTACTAAAGTATCGAGGTTGCTTGCAAAATCTGCAGGTTTTGTTTCTTACAGAACATGCACGTGTATGGTAACTTAGTTCTCGTGGAAATGCTTCATAGTTTTGCCCTTGCAGGTACAGTGAACAAGGAAGACTTACACGATAGTTTTCTTCCTCATCTTTTAAAAAATTCAACAACTTCGATGTTCATGCAATGGTTTACCATGTTCCCACTAAACGTGTATTCGGTGCTACTACACTGTTCTCGAGTAGCTCGGTTGCTTCTGCACTGCAGTCAAGCGTAGTGTGCAGTGTGTTCGCTTTTCATTCTGTGTTCGTGCTACAATTTGCAGCCTGCAAATTGCGAGGTTGCAAACGTTCTGCAGCAAGACTGGGAGCTACAACTCTCTCTACCCTCACCGTCCGTTGTCTTCTTAGCGCTATCACTTGCATACCATCGATCTCGAACAACAACACGGAACGCGATCGCTCTCAGAGCACCCACCTCTCGGTTTGGCTCTCGCATTTGAACCGTCAAAACGCAATTTTTTCTTATAAATCCGCCCTTTTATGCCGCGTATCTCATGTGTGCAGCGCAGCCCCAGTTGCCGTCTTACCCGGCTCGATCAAAGAGCTCATTGCTTCACTTCGCCAGCTACGATGGAGCACGGCGGCTTCTGCATGGGCCCGGGCTCGCTCATGGGCACGGCCGGCTTCAAGTGGGCGGGGCGCGACCCCATGGCGGACTGCTCCATGCTGTGGCTCGAGAGCTGGGGGCTCACGAGCGTCTCGCGCGCCGCCGCGGCCTGCATGCTCGTATTCCTGCTGGCCGCACTGTCCCAGTACCTGACGACGGCCAACGAGTGCCAGCTGCAGCAGTCCAAGAACTTCGCCAAGCGCCGGCTCGCCAAGGTGCTGACACAGCACACAACCAGCAGCAGCAGCAATGCAGCAGGCGGAAGCTTCTACGACCCGGAGCTGGGCCACAGGCGCTCGTCATCGTCCTCCTCCTGTGAGCGGCGCAAGGACTGCAAGCACGCGGAGGAGTCGGCGGTGCATCCCGAGCGGCCGGAGCTGCTGCAGGCGCTGGACAACAAGAGCACGACGCTGTCGACGGCTGAGAGGGCGCACCCCACGTCGGCGTCGCAGCCCGTGAGGCCGACGCCGCCCATTTCCGTCAAGGTCGGCAACTGGACGCACCTGGGCGACTCGCTCATGCGCGGCCTCAGGATCCTGCTCGCGTACCTGCTCATGCTGGTCGTCATGACGTACGACCTGTCGCTCGTCACGAGCATCGTCTTGGGATTCATGACGAGCTTCTTCGTGTTCGGCAAGGACACGGCCAAGGTGCCAGTCTCAGCGGACCCCTGCTGCTCGTAGATAGCGAGACTGCGAGATCGTACCTGCACGTTCACAAGTTTATCTACACCGTAATTTACTCTATTTGCCATCGTTCGCTGCCACCATCAAAGAAAACAAGAGTCGTTCGTGTATTATGCGTGCGCGAATTTTAGCGGATTATCATAACGCGCTCCCGAGAGCTCCATGCTCTTCTTCACGCAATTACTGACCGCACGTCGGAGGCTTCACTGCCGCGTCCGTGCTCACCCTCGCCTACTTACTGCTTCTTGGCCGCGCTGGCGTCGAAGTCCTTGGGGAGGATGCCGTCGCTGACACCGCGCGCCACGGTGTCCTGGAATAGCGCGGCCGCGTTGGGGATGTCCAGGGCGACGTCGTCCAGTACGAGTTTGAAGCGCTCGAAGCCCTTGATCAGCTGGCCCGTGGACACCACCTCGTGCGAGACCAGGTAGGCCAGCAGCGACGCCATCGCGGCACTGTTGGCCTCGCCGCCTTCCTCGAGCGAGTTGGTGATGCCGCGCTTGACCACCTCGTGGTGGAAGTGCGGCACGTTGAGCTCGCGAACGCAGCGCGCAGCCTCCTCGAGGTCGCGCGACAGCAGGTACTCCTTGGTAAGCTGGTCGATGGCCACCTTGAGCTCCTCGACGGGGCGGCCGTCACCAGGTCCCCAGGCCTTCTCCATTCGTGCCGTGGCGTGGTTGATGCTCAGCTTCTTGATCGCCTCCGCCGCAATCTCCGGGGCGTATCGCGTGATGAACGGGTCCTCCAGGAAGCTGGGCGGCAGGATCTCATCGACTACCGCACGGGCGCAGAAGATGGCCAGCATGTTCTTGGCGGTGGGGATGTCAATCTGCAAGTCGCCGGCCAGCAGCAGCACCCGACGGAAGCCCATAAGCACCTGGCCAGCCGTGAGTCCGTCCAGGTACAGCGCCGAGAGCAGACGCGACGCCAACTCGCGCTCCTTGTCGTTCTTGTCCATAGCCATGGTGATCGCGCGCTTGACCACTTCGTAGTTGAACTCGGGCTCGTCCAGGTCGTTGAGCGAGCTCAGCACTTCGTCGGCGTCGCCGCTGGTGAAGTACTCCTCCAGGATCTCGATGATGCGCTTCTTGATCTCGGGCGGAGGGTTGAGCGCCAGCTCCTTGGCCGCCAGCTCGTCCGGCTCGAGCGTCGGCGTCGACTTGGACTTGGTGGGCGAGCCGGGCGTGGACACCAGCACCACGTTCTCCTCCGCCTCGCTGTCGTAGTTGGGGTCGTGCTCGTCCGAGGGCACGGCCCGCGGGATCTCCGTCACCTTCCAGGACGCCTTCTGGCCGCCGCCCATGCGCTTGCCGGCGTCGCGCGACTTGCTGCGCTCCTTGCGGGCGGGGAGCGGCTTGTCGCCGCCGCCGGAGCCGCCGCTGGAGGCGGACGCTGGGGCCGGGGCCGGCTGCGCCAGGACTTCCTCCATGGTGGTCACGGTCTCTGCAGCGACGTCATAGCAGCAAGATAAAGTTAGCTAAGATGGCGATGATGAGGATAAATAACGGATACCGTATTGGGGGTGTCGGAGTTCCTCACCTTCGGGAGCGGCGGACATGGCGAGGTGGGAGGTGGGGGACAGAGGGGAGAGGAGAGGACGGGGGGAAGAGAGAGGGGGGACGAAAGGGAGTTGGCTGGCGTCGGGCTGCTCTGCTTCCGGGTGTCCTTCCTCCGGAGGTGCTGCTTGCTGGTGCTTCTTGAGCTTTTACTTTGGATACTGCCCCCTTTGCGCCGCGACATAAATAGTTGACTTGGAATTTGTATGCTGGAAAACTTCAATGTACCGGTAGTCACTGAAGTGAACGGCACGATTCACTCAGAAGAGTGACGGATCCATTCGAATATGGCGTGCGTGGAAGGTATATGGGAACCTTGGTTTGGGCGCATTAGCGCCTGGGTGCATGTGCGTGAATATGGAGCGCGGGACTATCTGCACAACAAGGTGCTGAGCGTCTAAGTGTAATCCTTTATTAATAAATTAAATTATACGCAAAATTGACCTTTAGTTGAAGCAAGTTGAACCACTCGCAACTCTGTAGATGTACGAGTTCGTTGTCTAAACAGTAATTCACCCAGGCAATGCCCGCTCCCTGGACTGTGCAGGTAGAAAATGTGTGTTTGCCTCAATCCCGAGGCTGCTGCAACATGTTCACGTTGATTGTGACTGGCGTTTGGTTTTGAAATTGGTTTTGAGAAGCAGCTTGCAGTCATTGTCATTCAAAACTGGTTGGTGGTAGGATGCAAGGGCTACTCGGCTTGGCAAGACTCCGTCCACCGGTATCATTTGCTACGGACGGCACGACTTGCTACTGGGAGGTGGCAAGATTCACGGGCAACATCTTCATCGGTCGCTTTCGTGGGACTTCGCACGTCAAATGCACTCAACGATCACGCACTCATACACGCACACGAGCAGACACACTCCACACGCACGAAACTCAACATGAAAGGCCATCACACCGCCTCCTTCTCCATCCCTTCCACTCGCGTAGGCTTGTTAGCTGACGCATCGGTTTGGGCAATTGCAGCTGGCAGCGTGCGCAGTGCCTACCCGACAGTCGTCGGGCTAAGATGTGTAGAACGTTGAGCGATCCACTTCAGGTAGAACCTCACTGCAACCGTGGCAAGATGTAGCGAACGAATCGTTAGCGGTGAAACAACTGTGCACGCAACAACAAAAAATGAGTCAATAAAGACTAATAATACACTGCAACCACAGATTATGCTGTGTTGCCTAGAGGGACGCCAGGCAGACACACTTACATAGAACATAGCCAAGAGTCAGCCACAATCTTGATATTGCTTGGCCCAAACACACGCTTCTGACCGCATTTGTCGCATTTGGGATTCCACACGCTTACGTCTGCTCGGCACTGGGTTCCAGCGCACTTCCACGTATCCCGCACCGTTTCAAACTGCACCGTAAGTATGCGCTGCGTGTGGACGTCCATTCGGCGTACGCGGATCATTGAGTTCTTGACATTTTTTGCTATAAAGAAGGCAAGAAACAAGTGCTCCCATCAGAATCGACTTCACCAGCAAAGTGGCACCCACCTTTGACGAAATAACGTACAGTTGAGTTCTTCCACTGCTTCTTCGGCCCCTTCCTCGGTTTCAAACGTCACACATGCGTCACCACGCCCAAGATGAGTGCGCTGGCTGGGGAATACTTCAATTGCTGGAAACCCAGTGTCGCGATCAACCTTCAATTCAGAGTCAGTTAGCACATCAAAACCCGCCAAAACCCCATCCGCAGGCACTTACCGCAACACCAAAACGTGCGAAGTCCCCCTCAATCTGCTCAGCGCACACCGTGGGATTTACCCCGGTCACATACACCTGCCTCACCATCAAATCTTCGTCCACTGGTACGCTATCCAGGTCAAAGCGAATGTCTTCGACCTCCTTAACAAAAGCGTTGCCGTCGTCGTCCGAGTCTGAAATGAACATGTCACCATCGTCATCGAACGTTGCCAGAGCGCCAGGTGAAGGAGGGACGTCTTCACGAGGTGATAATTTCTGCTTCTTCGCAAGACGATTGTTCTCGTCAATTTTCCCGTTTCGACAAACTTCACCCAGCTCAGGCGGATCACTCGGCTTATCGACGCTCTTCTTGCTGGAGTCACGCTTATCCGACGAAGGGGATCGACGATTTATACGGGGATCTCGGTCCCGATCGCGGCTACTCGAAACGGTTTGCTCCGAACGGCGATGATCATGCTCGCTCGGCCTCTCTCTTGACCATGATCTTGACCGCGAGCGGCGACGGTAACGATTACTACCATAGTCTCGACCTCGGGGGCTTGGAGAACGAGATCGAGAGCGTGACGACCCTCTTCGTCTACGATCATCACGTAACTTGCTGTCTCGGCTGTAACGATCACGCTCTCGAGATGGCGGTGATGGCGATCGCTTCCTCCTACGATCGTCGTCGCGTCTGTAGCTACCGTTTTCCCGACCACGACGCCCACGCGATGGCGACTCATACTTATCTGGCATAGATGATTGAGAAGCTTGAGGACCGTAGTAACTTGGTCCGGAGTTTTTGCTGGGTGGCCCGAAGCTTTTCTTGCGACGTTTGTTTTGAGTTTTCCCTGGGGTGCTTCTAGATCCATAGTCGTTTGCTCGTGAAGCTTTTGGTGGTGTATCCTGCTCAGCTTTCTCCGCCTGTGGGGGCTGTTTCTTCTTCTTTGGGATCGGAAGTTTATCCAAATCTGTATCTTGCAACCGGCTCTTAACCATCGGGGTGCCATTTCGCGCTGCTTCTTCCTGCATCTTCTTAAAGCGACTGGGACGCTTGTAGCCGGTCCCTTCGCGAATATCGCTAGCACTCTCTTGTCCATCCATGTGCAGCGCATCATAAATACTTATTTGTGGCTCTAGCCTGTATCCGCCTCGAGAGGCGGTCTTATCGTTCATCTGCGAATTTTGCCCATTTGTTGCAGCTGAAGAGTTTTGTGTTGTCGAACTAGATTCGCTGCCCCCGCCAAAGCGGGATTTCGGGACATTGCGAGTTGTTTCGACTGCATAGCTAGGTGCATCCTCGGTCTTCTTGGCACCAGCATACGCGAGATATCTGGCGTTGGATTTCTCCTCTGTCTTCTTAGACAGTTCTCTCGCCAACAATTTCAACGGCACATCGTCAAGGTCCTTTGCGGCATTCAAACCATTAGGCTTCTTCGTTGGCACCATCGTGTAGTGGTTCTTGTGTGGTCGTTTGGCTCCAGGGGTATCCTCAGGGTCGAGCATTTTCGTACTGCGTCTTGTCACGGCAAACTTGCCCTTCATGACGGTTGACGTTGCGATGGGCTTCTTGCTGGGACGAAGTCCGTTGGATCCAAGCGATGGCTTGTCCGGCGACGGTGTTTGCTTTGGCTCGACTGTTGCCTTCTTTGCATCATTGCTTCCCTTCTTTGCGTGGGTCTCAGTGTAGTCGTGCACTGGCAATGGCTTTGGCGCTGTAGTCGTCGTAGTCTTCGCCTTGGGCTTCAGTCTCAATGGCGTGAAATCAAAGAATTGCTGTACTCCAGCTGTCGAAGAATCAACCGCTTCATCACCACTTTTGCCATTCATTGACTTTCCACTGTCACCAACATCCCCAGCCTCGGATGTTTTCTGCGTGGGGGCAGCTCCATCCTTCTCGTCGCTCGGAGCCTTCGTTTCCCCACCTGCACCATTCTTTTTGCTGTCCGCAGGCTTATCGTCAGCATCGCTGTCATCACTGTACTCGAGTCCGAGATCGTCTGTGTCCGGTTCATCGTCTTCCAAAATCTCGGTTTCAGCTTCGGAGACGTCTTCATCCTCCATTTCCACATTCTCAGCGCTAGTTTCTGTGTCAGCATTCTTCGGCACAGTATCCACACTCTTTACTGTTTCCTCCCGCGCTCCACCAGCGTCACTGCCAGTTTTCACTTCGAGTGAAGCTGCCTCTTCACCAGCGTTACTGTCCTCATTCCCAAGTGACAATTCTTCTTCTTCCAAATCAAGGGTCCCGGTGTCCGAAAGATCAGTATCGCCATCACTCGAATCCGCCGGTTGCTGGGTGGCTTCCTCCTTGTCTGGCTGATTTGCATCTTGTCGGCCAGCGGTGGTTTGATGCAAAGCAGATCCAAGCGGAGCAACTGCAGCAACGTTGCCAGCTCTGCCATGAGCTTCTGAAGGCACCTTGTCCACTTCTGCATCGACGGTTCGCATTTGCTGTGTATTTTGCGAAGCATCTTGAACAGTCTGCGGGCTCTGGAAGTCTGCAGGGATCTTCAAGCGCACAATCGTCGATTCCTTCGTCACATCAACGTCCACCACCTTCTCCTGCGTACCATTTACTGTTGTCGAGGTACTGCTTTTATCATTGTCTTTTGCTTCATCCTCGCTGGATGAAACTTCGATCGGCTGATTCGAATTCCCTGATGCATCTTTATCTGACACTTCCGTCGATACACTTTTGGTCGTAGCTACCGTGTGATACGCTTCGCTCGCTGGCGAACCAACTCGTGTCTGCACTGGTGGGGTTTCTGCTTGAAGTGGGGCCTCCTTGGTGGTGCTATCTTGCTGACTCAGTTTCCGTGTGACGGCTGGCTTGCGGGGCCGTGGTTTCTTTTTCTTCTGCGTCGACGCTGCTTGGCGCAGCCGCTTTCGTTTCCGCTTTACAGGTATCGTATCTTCGTCACTGTCCAGGTAGTCGTCGCTGAGTAGGTCCACCACTTCAGGCTCGTCCGGCTCAGGAACCTCTTCTTCTTCCGCTGGAGAGTAGTCGCTGCTGAAGTCGTCTTCACTTTCACTGTCGCTATTTGTTATTTGTTTGGCCCTTCGGAGGGCTTCGCGCTGCTCTTCCTCTGAGCTCATCCCGTACCGATTTGTGTGCTTTCGTCTCCGTCGCATGTTCTCCTTGCGTCGAATCACCTCTGGATCGCGGTAACCTGATACCCAGCTCAGCATCTCCGCGGCGACATCATCTGTCATCGTCGTCGTCGTCGTTGTCGCCGGCGCTGCAACCTTCTTCTTGTATGGATCCTGCGGGCTCTTCAAGGATACCTGTTGCATGAACTTGGACTGCGTTGATCCAGCTGCGTGGGCTGCGCCACCGCTCGCCACCTTACTATTCGCTCCAAACTCCTTCAGTAGATGCGGGGGCGTGCTCTCCTCCGTCTTCGTCTCCTCAGCATCGGAGCCCTGCAATTGAATCACATCCACTTGCAAATTCTGCATCAACTCGTGAACGGCCACATCGCTCCCTAGCGTCGCGCTACCAGTCGCCGCCGTGGTCGCAGTAGTCGCGGTACTCGTCGCTGTCCGTACCGTCTTCGGATCCAACTGGGACATGGGCACCGCCTTCACCTTGGGCTTCAACGTGGGCGACGCCAGGTTCGACGGCATCGCGAGCGGCTGCATGAGCTCTGCGGCGGTCGGCATGCGCGTCTTCAGGGGTGGTCCAACCTCTACGTGCGGCATGAAGGCCGACGCCTTGGCCGCTTCCGCCTGCAGCAGCGCGCTCATGTCGGAGGCGTCCACGTCGCCCAAGAAGTCGAGCGCCAGGGCGTCGTCCTCGTCCTCGCTGGCCACGGCGTCGCTCTGCAGCGAGCGCTGGTGGTCCTTGAAGCCGATGTGCGCCTTGACGCGCTGGAAGAGCTGCTCGCGCTCCTGCTGCTCGTCGCGGCGCCGAGCCGCGAGCCACTGGCGCGCGCGCAGCAGCTCGCTCTCCCATAAGGCCGCGGCGCTGTCGCCCATGGCGCGATCTTCCTTCCGTCGGACGCCTGCGGGCGGCTTGGCGGCTTGCTTGCTCCTGCCGCTGCGGGCGGGCGTCGAATGCGGTGCGGGAGCTAGCGCCGGAGTGCGGAATGCAGAGTGATGGTCTCTGGCGCACTTGGCTCACCCTGATTCCCGTTGTGAAAGGCTTCGCTCTTGGTTTTAGAGTGGGCAACGGTAACTTGCCTCCTATTGGCTGAAAATACGCGATAACGTCCAATGGCGACGGCATTGCATCAAATGGCGGAAGAGCGACACTTGCCCGACAAGTCGACCTCGAGCATGGTGAAGCTGCGCGGCTACGACTTCTACCGCGCCATCGGCTCCCCGAAGCGCATCGTGGCGCCCATGGTGCGTGACGACTCTCAACTGTCAGCGATTTCCGCGTTGGAACGGAGAAATTCCGCCGCGTGACGACTCTTTAAGCCTCATTGAAGCGTGTCAACTAACTACGACTCTTTACTTGCTTTGCTGCAGGTGGACCAGTCGGAGCTGGCGTTCCGCATGCTGTGCCGCAAGCTCGGCGCCGACTGCTGCTACACGCCCATGCTGCACAGCCGCCTGTTCGCCGAGAGCGCCGAGTACCGCGAGAAGATGTTCGAGCGCCACATCCAGGACCGGCCGCTGGTCGTGCAGTTCTGCGGCAACGACCCCAAGACGGTGCTGGCGGCCGCCAAGATGGTGGAGGGCCACTGCGACGCCGTGGACCTCAACCTCGGCTGCCCGCAGGGCATCGCCCGCAAGGGCAACTACGGCTCCTTCCTCATGCACGACAAGGACACGGTCCAGGCCATCGTCGAGACGCTGAGCGCCAACCTCAACGTGCCCGTGACGGTCAAGATCCGCGTCTTCCCGGACGACAACGAGACGCTCGAGTTCGCCGACATGCTGCAGAAGGCCGGCTGCGATCTGCTCACGGTGCACGGCCGCACCAAGGAGATGAACAAGACGGCGGTGCGGGAGGTGGACTGGGACATCATCCGCCGCATCAAGGAGCGGCTGACGATCCCTGTGATCGCCAACGGAGGCATCGAAACACACGAGGACATCGCGCGCTGCATGGAGGCCACGGGCTGTGACGGCGTCATGAGCTCCGAAGGGCTGCTGGAGAACCCAGCGCTCTTCGCCGACACAAACAACAAACCTGGCGAGGACACGTCCTTCCTGGCACTGGCCAGGCAGTACCTTGAGTGCGCGACGCTGTACCCGCCTGCGAGCGACAAGATCGTCCGTGCGCACCTCTTCAAGATCCTGTTCCAGGACCTGCGCGTGCACTCAGATCTGCGCGATGCGCTGGCCAACGCCAAGTCTCAAGACGAGATGGTCGACATTGTTGAGGAGCTGGCCGTGCGACTGAAAGAAGCAGAGAGCGGCAACGCGGGACCGGAGACAAAGAAGGTGGAGTACGCTGCCGAGACGAGCTGGTACCGCCGCCACCGACAGGGGCAGGAGAAACTTCGCCGCCGTGACTCGTACGAGAAGTGCCTCGACACAGGTTTCGGCAGTCTGTTCGCGTAAGCAGCGCTGGTTGAGACTCCGTGCTGCACAGAGCTCACTTTGCTTACAAATAGAGTCTATTTGATCCTTTGCACGCGACTTGCGGTACTGCAGTTGCTGATGCGGTCGTGTTGTTCTCTATGGTGCTCCCTGTCGGCGTGCGTGAAGGCATGTTGACATCCTACCCTAACTAATGCAGAGGCTGCCTCACTATGATTCCGAGTTCAAACCCATGCCCCAGCCCAGCTTCACGCGCTTCTCACGTCGAGGCAAGCTGTCGTCGGTATCAACCATCGGCTGTGAAGGAGAAGACCCGGCGGAGGCGGTGAAGCTCGCCGGCAGCGGGACGTACTCACTGGCATCATGCATTTCTACGTCCTCCGCCGGGTGTTTCAACTCTCGTCGCGAAGTAGACAAAGATCTGGACTTCCGCTTGTCACTCCTGGACCTGTGCCGGTCGTGATGGCTTGACTTGTCGCCGCCTGAGGATGATCCATCGTGAGCCGAGGACGCCGACCGCTTGTGGCGATGGTGATCACTGCTATGCCTGTGTGAGGAGTGGTGGTGTGACGGTCGCCCCGAGCCGCTGCTTCGGCTGCTGCTACCAACACTTCGGTGTTTCTTGGCCTTCGACTTGAGCAAGTGCTGCACGAGCTTCTTCTTCTGCACTGGGAAGGTTGATGGAAGCCCACTGAAGTCGAACGTCCGCTCGCTGCTGCGAACGCTGTCAAAGTACCGCATCTCGAGCAGCTTCTTCACAGTGTAGCGCCTTGACGGGTCCAGCTGAAGCATGGCCTCCAGCACCTCCACAGCATCCTCAGGGAAGTCGGGGAACTTGGAGCGCTGCTCTAGGAGCGTTTTACGGAGACGCATCTTGTACTCGTTCTTGGGTCGAAATGTGTTGTACAGAGGGAGCTTGTGCGCGCCTTCCCACGACGAACTAGGAGTGCCACAGAGTCGGTAAATCAGATCCAGCTGCACCTTGATGTCGGGTCCTTGGAGGAACGGAACCTTCTCGAGAAGAATAGCAAGGGCGACACAACCTGCCGACCACACATCCGCTCGCCACGTGTACTTGATCTCACCAAGCAACACTTCCGGAGCAGTGACATACAGCCAAGCGCCATAGCAGTGCTCTTTGCGTTCTCCATCCGTCATCTCGTACGCAGCAGTGGAAGATCCTTCGCCGTCCTTTGGCTTGATATTGGCGATCTTCCGCATCGCATGGAAGCCACCGAGCTTGATGCCGTTCTTGAACACCAAGAGATGTGAGGGAGCAACGAAGCGGTGGACGTAACCTTGGTCGTGAACAGCAGAAAGACTCTGAAGCATATCGAAGATGGCCTTCTTGCGCAGCTCCGGTGTAAGTGAAAGGTGGGCTTCAAAAATTCCCGAGAACATGTGAAGCGGCTGCTCGAAAGCCAAGTAGTGCTTCTGCCGTGTCAACCGGTCCATTCCTTCAGGAAGCGGGTTGCCATCGTCATCAATAGTTGCTGCGAGCAGATCAAGTTCATCGGCGTCGACCGCCGTAGATGATGACTTGCTGCCAGCAGCTCCCGAGTCGTTTGTCTGACGGTCCTTCCTATCAGCAGGGAAGATAATTCCATAGAGCTTCATAAATCGGTCGGGTAAGAGCGAGGAGAGAGTTGTTGCAGCCGACAGCTCACGTAGACACGCCTCGTTGATGCCCCTCTCTTCAGTGAAAAACACCTCCTGTTCAAGGTATGGCCACGACTGTAGGTACACGGGTTGTCCGGCCAAATCCAAGTTCACCTCACTAGAGATGACGCCTAAGAAGGCTCGTTTCCGGATAGACTCGACCTTGACAATCTCATCCGTGTGCAAGCGCGTATCGCCGACAATCGTGTCGCTAGCTGCAGACTTATTCGGGAAAATAGACAACGCCGAGATGACACTCTCCGCTTCATAATTTTGACCGGTAGAAGAGCTAGGCACTGGAACTGAGCTGCCCATTGCCTTGAACGTGATGAAGTTCTTCACTCCATTCTGTGTAGGAATTGTTGGCGCAAAGCTCCTCATTCCCGTCGGTACCGGTGGTGCAGCGGGTGTTACACTTAGAACCGATGGAATCATCGGGGTAGCAGGTACGTTAATCCAAAGCTTCAAAAGCCGAGCTATCCGCTCAGAAATCTCCACATCTTTCTTGTCTTTGGAGACAGCAAACTGCTCCATATCGAATTCACTGGAGTCGGAATCCTTCGTTTGCTTTTGCTGCTGTGATGCCTTTGACTGCTTCTCCAGGCGCAGCCATCGATCTTTCAGCTGAGTGCAGATCGACAAGGAGCACTCCAGCAGCATTCGTGCCTCAGCAGCGTTCGCTTGCAAGTCCAGCTGCGGCAAAAAATCGGGCATTCTGGCAATAGGAGAGGCTGAGCTAGGATTCAGCGCCTCTGTAACAGCAGCGCTCACGTACACAACGCTGAGCATAACGCATTCCACCGGAGTATGCGTCCAAATAGGCAATGGAAGAGCCTCCGCGACCAAATGCTTCGCTTCTTTCTGCACCTCCGGCGGAGGCAGCGAGGAGAGAAACGGAGTTACTTGTTGAGTAAAACCGTTCTGAGACAGTGAGATTAGTTTCTTCGAGCTCTTGCGAGTTGTGAGGAGGTCAAGCAACGCGTAGGGGTCTTCACCAGTTACGTCATAGTGTAAACCTTCCAGTAGTTCACCTTCTGCCTTGACGAGGTGGCGCTTCAGGACTCCGAGTTCTGGTGAGGCAGCCGTGAGACGTTCAGCGGCTGCCGCGCCGTGCTTCGCTTTGTATACTTCCTTCACAAAGGCCGTCCACGGCACTTTTCGGGCGTGAGCCTTCAAGAATAAGTGCAACATCGTCGCAGCGTAGATATCCACCTCCATGGGCATAGCGTGAAACGTGAAAAACCTGTTTAGCGCGATGATGGCACTCGTGGCATCCTCCCGGTCAAGACGCAGTCCCTTGGCGATGTGGAAAATACTCTTCACATACTTCACCCGCAAAGTTTCCTCCAGCGATGCAGAGAGGACTTGCTGGACCGATAAATTCTTCAGTTCTTCTTCAGTAACGAGCCAGTTGAGCTTCCGTCCAAAGCAATATGGATCTTTACGCTCCGGAACCTGCGCGTTCTCCTTCTCTTCGGACGGCGATGAGTTGCTCTTGTCAGTGTTTGCATGTTGCCGCATCATCTGCACTTTGTTCTTCTGGTAACGGAAATTTTCCAGTTCCTTTGCACCTGCTTGGTACACTCGTAACATTTTGTCTAGCAAATTACGGCGGTCCAAAGTCTTGCGAAATGAAGCCGCCAACTCGTTGCTTTCCAATTCCACAAGCGCCCAGCCCGTACCGTCTAAAAAGTGAAATACATCCGCATCTACCAGTGCGTTCGGGTGCTTTCGGCTGAGAAACAAGCTGCGCAGCGCACGCGCGTCATACGCCTTCGGCAAGAACTTGATCAGCAACGTTTTGGATATAATTTTGCCGTCGCGGTCGAGCAGCTCCCCGTACTGGTTCTTCTTGACCGTACTGAAGCTGCTCTCCAACTTGGCCATCGCCACAGGAGGCGGTGTACCGGCAGGCGACTGCGACATTACTTCCCGCTTGGGCGACGGCTCTCGGCTCCCGGCGGCACTCGACATGCCCGACGAGGTCGGCAAGTGGCGTTTTTTCGGGATAGCGAACACTACATCGCCCTCCTTCTCCCCCGGGGGACAGAAGAGCTGCCACCCGTTCTCCTTCAGCTGCACATACTGCTTCTCACCCGGTTCCTGCTCCTCCTCGGTATCATTTTCATCCGTCTCGTACCCTGCAGGCTCCAGCAAGTCCTCCACCTCGTACCTGTCCTGTTCCTCGTCATACGCCTTAATCAACTGCACATCGTACTCCGTCTTGTCGTCGGGCGACAAGAAAACCCGCACGCGCTTCCCCACCAACGCCCGACCTGTGTCCTCCTTCTCCGGGTCGCGGAAGTATCCCGTCTGGGCCTCCGCGTCCTTGAGCGCGTCGTTCTGCGTGCCAATGACCCCCTTGCAGCTCGGCGCGCCGCAGTAACACTTGATCTGCCTCGACCCGAGCGCCTTCCACTGGTAATCGAACGTCAGCTCCTCGCCCACTTCAATGTCCCTCAACGCAATCACCGCGATCCTCGTCTCGCCCTTCACCGTCCACTTCTCCGTCTTGCAATTGGGCTCGCAGCTGTGGTTCACGAACCGCGTGAAGCTCCCCTTATTGCGCGCGTCAATGTAGACCCCCGGGGCCAATAGCAAGTAATAGAAGTTGAGCTCGTGCCGCGGCACGCTCTTGAGGCGCCTGGCCAGCTCCTTCTGGTCGATGATCTCGCCCACGTACTCGCCCACGATGCTCAGCTGGCCGATGTGCTGCCGCGTGCGCACGCCGTAGCCCTTGTGCTCCGTCTTGAACGGCTCCAGCTGCGGGTACCGCTCCGGGTGCTGCAGCCGCTGGTTGCGGCAGTACTGGCCGGCCGCGCAGGACGGCGAGCACTCGACGTACGTGGCGAAGTTGAGGCACGACACGTCGTCGCAGCGGCGCACGAGCTCCTCGCTGCGCCGCGCGTCCTCGCGCTCGACGGCGTCCGGGAACGTGCAGAAGCACAGCGCGCCGTCGTCATCGTCGTCGTCGTCGTCGTCCTGGCGGCTGGCGCGCGCGCGGCGCCGCACCTTGTCGCGCGCCAGGTGCCTGAGCGGGTACTCGTTGCGCTCGATGAGCTGCACGTTGCGCAGCGCCTGCAGCTGGTCGAAGCTCGTGGTGGCGTCCGCGTCCTGCTGCGCCTGCTGGGGACTGCGGCTGCGAGACCGCGAGCGTGAGGAGCTCCTCGCCATGGCTTTTAGTGGCCTCGGAGCGACGAGTTAGCGGCGGTTTGAAAGGGGAAACGGCGCAATCGAGTGACGAATTGCGCGCGGGGTGGCCTGGAGTTGACTCGCCTGTTGCTGCCCCTTGCCTGCCGTGGCCCAAGGAAGGCCCTTTGACTGTGGTGGTGTCTGGGCTGCGCGGCGAGCGGACACGGGTGGTACAGTGTACCGTTTTCAGATTACGGGATCGGGCGAAGTGGCGGACAAGAGACGTACATTTGGTGGGCGCTCGACATGTAGGCGACGCTACGTTGTGGTTCTACCTAAGCTTACGTGCAAATTCGTTGCTCTACTTACACGTTGAGTAGAGCGGCGATGGCGGCTGAAAGCATTAGGGCTGCGACCGAAGCGGCGGGCGTTGACGTCGTCGCGCCGGATTCCTTGGCCGTGCCGCTGCCCGAGGACGTGAGCGCGTCCACGCCGTTCGACGGCGTGCGCTTCTCGCCCACGGACGTGCTCGAGTCGGTGTGCGTGTACGAGTTGGCGCTGCTGCCTTTGCACACGGGTTGCAGCGCGGTGCACTCGAGGATGGTCACTGGGTCAGTAAGTATAACAGGGGATTGGTCAGTCAACTTCAACTTGTGTATACGAATCGTGTCGGTGGACGTACCGTTTGGCGTGGGCGGCAGGTCCGTGGACATGGTCTTGGGGCAGGACAGGATCTTGGAGCGCGTCGGCTTGAAGCTGTCGTGCGTGACGGTCGAGTTGGCCGTGGTGGTGTACGCCTTCTTGAGGTTGTCGTACTCCGGGTAGGGCGTGAACTCGCACGGGATCTTGTCGTGGTCGCAGTCGTTCGGCTCAAAGTACCCGATGCCGTACTTGCCAGCGTCCGCGGTCTTTGTTAGCGCTGCAGCAACACATCACTGTTAGTTAGGTGGGAGGTAGTCGTGGGATGTAGGTAGAGCTCAGCGTACCATCCTTATCGATCAGGTTGGTCAACTCGGTCGTAAATTCAAAGACGTTGCCGCCCACGATCTCCTGCGTCATGTCCTTCTCCTCGTTCATCCACTTGGCCTGCATCAAGTGAGGAGTTCGAGTTAGTATTCTCATGTCGATAGCAATGCACAGGCGGTGCGAAGCTTACGTCGTAGAATTCGCGCTGGTTCTCGTAGCCGTCGATCGTGTTCTCGCCCTTGTTGCAGCCGAACTCGCCGAACATGAGCGGGCGAGCGTACTTCACCTCAGCATACTCGGCCATCAGCGTCTTCAGACCGCTGGATTGAGTGTACTTCGTGTGGGTGGCGGGGTCACACTCGACGTAGGGGTTGAATCCCATCCTACGACACACAATCGAAGGAGGTTAGCTAAGAGAGCAAACCCCATCTAACCGGTGCTCATCTTACCATTCAGCTCGCGTGTTCTCGTCGTCGTCCACGGCGCAATCGTAGTAGGAGATCCACTCCCAGCGCGGCGGAATGTCAGCAATGTCGAGACCGAGAGGCACTTGACGCACAGCTCCCGAGCAGCTCGCAGCATAACTCCGCATGTCACGCAGGAAGGCCTTGACGCAGGGAGCGGTCGTGGTTCCGTCCGCGCCGTATTTCACCTGGAGGTTGTTCTCGTTGCCCACACTGAATCCCAGTGTGTTGTCGTACACAGCGAAGGCGTTGTAGACCATTTGGCCTCGAGTGAACAAGTGCTCTGGGTAGCACTTGGGCGGCTCCAGGTCCTGAACTGAGCAGTCCTCGCACCTACAGCACGACAAAGTCCGTCAGAATCGACGAAAAGGAAGGACCAGTCTGCAGAGAGTAAACTTACGGTGCAGTGATGCCCACGAGCACGTAGATACCAGCCTCCGAGCACGCGCACATGAACTTGTCATGCGATACGCTCGGATCCACCGAGTACAGTCGGATCGTGTTCACGCCGAGGTCCTTCATGATCTCCAGGTGCGGCTTCCACACCGATTCATGCTCGTCGGCAGCCCAGTCGTAGTTGCTGACGTCGGCCAGCTCTCCGCCGTTAGGCCGGGGGTAGTACGCGATGCCTTTCTGCCTAAATTCCAGGCCGATGTCCGAGTCGAAGAACTTGTTGCCCTTGGTGATGATCGGGGGGAGCCACGCATCGGTTTGGGGGAGGATAGTAGCGACAAACAGCGCTGCAAGGGCGCAGAGGCTGCGAACACGGCGGCTGAACGTCATTTTGGGTGGAGTTCGGAGTACTTTGCGGGGGGCTTTTGTCACCGAGCGGCAAGTTGGGGAGTGACCTGTGAGCAACTCGACGCCTTGGTCTCCATTGAAAGCCGCTCTTGTCACCTCCCATGTAACGTCCTGCGATTCCGAACAAGTCGGGTCGTTGCATTTTTCCAGTCACCTGAATGCCCTCGACTGTTTGTTGGTATCTGCTCCTCAGTGGCGGTTTTCATCTCGCCGATACTCCATCTCATGCCTCGGAAGGATGCCGGCTCCAGCTCCGCAGTCATCTCGCAGTGTCACCGCAACTGCCGCGTCGAAACGAATGCTGCGTGGGAGTTCTGTTGCGATTGTGCAATGTGTGAATTGAAACCTTCTCTGGGGCCAGCCAAACTCAAATCAGAAGTGTGTAAGTACGTTTTGCATTAACCTCTTCGGCCTAGACACTGTGGTGTACCCAAGCCAACCGACAAAATCTTGATGGAGGGCAACCAACTGATAGCTCTAGAAGCCCGAGAGAGCAGTGGTTGCAATTGTTGCTGCCAATAGCACGAAAGTTGGCATCAACATTGCAGCGGCAGAGGACGTAGTGCTGTCCGTAGAGTTCAGGGCGGACGCCGCACTGCTTTCGTCGTTTGTAGGCGTCACCTTGTCCCCGACCTTCGTACGCGACGACTGGTGCTTATACGAGTTGGCCTTCTTGCCGTTGCACACTGGTTGCGCCACCGAGCACTCCAAAACAGTCACTGCAGTAAACAGATTCAAAGACGCACACACCAATTCGTGACATATCCGTCAGCAAACTCCTTACACTTCGTCGGGCCTCTCTCAGCATCGCATGACTAATTAATTATCCACCACCGATATCGTACCTTCAGGGGTTGGCGGCAACTCGATCGACATGTTCTTCGGACAACTCAAAATTGCGTCGCGTTCAGGCGTGTAGCTATCGTGCATGACAGTCGAGTTGGCCGTGGTGGTGTACGCCTTCTTGAGGTTGTCGTACTCCGGGTACGGCGTGAAGACGCACTCGGTTTTGTTGTTGTCACAGTCGTCCGGCTGGAAGTAGCCGACACCGTATTTCCCTGCGTCGGCTGTCTTGGTCAAAGCTGCACAAATACACAAGCCGAAGCCTCAGTCCGGAAGTCCAGGCAACAAATCGACCAAGGGAGTATAGCTATACCTGAGCTATCCAGCAGATTGGCGACTTCAGTGGAGAATTCGAACACGTTGCCGCCCACGATTTCGTCCGTCATCTCTTTCTCTTCATTCATCCACTTTGCCTGCAGCACGAAGATATTAGAATTCCTCAAAGCAAATAATGCGCTTGACGGCGTGACTTACATCGTAGAATGCGCGTTGATTTTCGTAGCCTTCGATCGTGTTCTCGCCCTTGTTGCAGCCGAACTCGCCAAACATCAACGGACGAGCGTACCCAACCTCGGCGTACTCTGCCATGAGCTTCTTGAGCCCAGTTGACTGCGAATACTCCGTGTGCGTTGCTGGATCGCACTCAACGTAGGGATTGAACCCCATCCTGCAAATGCACACGACAAGATAATGTAAAACGCTATCGATCCGCAGTAATTCTCAGGTATCAAACAGTTTTCAGACTCACCATTCCGCGCGTGTGTTCTCATCGTCGTCCACAGGACAGTCGTAGTACGAAATCCACTGCGACCGAGGCGGAATGTCAGCAATATCAAGCCCGATAGGTACTTGACGCACGGCACCCGAGCAACTCGCCGCATAACTTCGCATATCGCGAAGAAATGCCTTCACACACGGCGCTGTTGTCGTTCCGTCAGCTCCGTTCTTGACCTGCAGGTTGTTTTCGTTGCCAACGCTGAATCCGAGGGTGTTGTCGTAAACGGCGAAGGCGTTGTAGACCATTTGCCCTCGCGTGAACAAGTGATCAGGGTAGCATTTGGGCGGCTCATAATCCAAAATGGAGCAGTCCTCACATCTATCATCGATTACCATAGCAGCACGAAAGACTTAGTCAGGAATGCCAAGTAGAATACAAGTACTAGCAAAGCAAAAGAAGACTTACGGAGCAGTGATGCCGATGAGCACATAGATCCCCGCCTCTGAACAAGCGCACATGAACTTGTCGTGTGATACGCTCGGATCCACCGAGTACAGTCGAATCGTGTTCACGCCAAGATCCTTCATGATTTCGAGGTGGGGCTTCCACACCGATTCATGCTCGTCGGCGGCCCAGTCGTAGTTGCTGACGTCGGCCAACTCTCCGCCGTTGGGTCGTGGGTAGTACGCCATCCCTTTCTGTCTAAACTCGAGGCCGCTGTCGGAGTCGAAGAACTTGTTGCCCTTGGTGACGATCGGCGCGACCCACGCATTGGCATGGTTCGCAATGACACCAACGCAAAATGCAGTGACAGCGCAAAGGCTTCGAGCACGGGAACCGAAGACCATGACTGGGTTGCGTTGATACTGTAGCTACGCCCTGTAGTCTGCTGCGGTCGAACAGCAAATTGGAAGTGACCAGATCGGCCACGCGCCAAACGCATTGCGATCGATCGACTTCTATCCACGACAGTAGTAGTCAGAGCCGAATTTCGCGAGGTTCGAACAGAAGTATCTGAGACTTCCCGACTTTGTGACCAACACATCGTACTAAGTCGGTTCAGTTCCTTGGAGGTTCGGGCCTCTAAACGCAGAAGTCGTATCCATTACGACTTCAATATGAGGCGATCGACAGCGTAGTGTATACTTGCTCTATCTGGCGTGTCCAAAGCTCTGAACACAAATATTACTTTGTGCTATGAACTTGTCGGGTGTTCGTTAGTACCTTAGCCAATGCAAGCATGAAGACGATGGTCACTGCAGTAAGCAGTATGACTATGGGAAGTCATTACCATCTTAACGTTCACAGCAGAAACGGTGGCAAACATAAGATAAAAACGTTGAGGCGAGCAAACATTTTTGTGTACTTTGCTTGTACTTGAGTATGTCATGGGCAGAAAGCGCATGCGTCCCAGCCACAGCTTCAAAGCATGATAGAGCGGTGAATAGCACTGCTGAGGTCACCAACGCAACTGCACCGGATACGCTACTGCCCAAGCTTGTGATTGCCGTGGTTTCTTCATTCTATGGAGTCCTTTTGTCGCCAACCGCGGTATGATAGTGGAGTCGACATGCTCGTACGAGTTGGCGTTCTCAGCGTTGTAGTGGATCATTACTTCAAGCCAGCTTACTGGAAGTTTTCTTCAACGCGAATTGTTTTACGCCACGCACAGCACAAGAAGCGCCGCCGTGGAGTCCTAGCCTAGACATTCTAGACAGTCTTAAATTTGCCTCGTAAGGCACAGGCCAACTCTTCACCAAGCCTCGAAAGGCACAACTAACAACAATACACTTGGCTCAAAACTTCCAGCAGGCTTGCCACCTGCCCCACTGCCGGAAAACATTATAACCGTTGCACACAGGCTGAGTCACAGAGCACTCCAACACCGTCACACATGTGACCAAAACCAGATACTTTGCTAACCAGCAACGCCCTTGTTACAGCCAAATTGGCATCAGCGGGCAACTGTACGTCGGCCATCAGACCCGTCGGCCTCCGCGTGTACCTGGATCACCACTAACCATACAGGATGAATCCATGGCGTTTCCGATGACATAAGGGAAATAAAAATAAGCACCTTGGCGAACATCTCACGGTTTTTGATTGAAGGTCCAATACACAAAACATCGGTGGAAAAGGTATAGTTGCCAGCACTCTTGAAATCACCCGTTCCGGTTCCCGTTTTGTCAGACTTGCCCTTGCTTACAGCGGCTCCAGTGACGTCCCATCCACTCACCCCCACACCGGCTTCGCTGCAGCTTTCGGTCGTCATTGCCGACTGCAGCGTGCTGATACTTGTTTGCGTTGTGGCCTTCATTTTAACCATCCTCGAAAAGACCCCGCCAAGGTGCTGATTCCCCGAGGGAATGTGGGAACCGTAGTCTTGCAAAAAATATCGCGCGTGGATTCGGCTTGAAACGGCGAGAGCAGCCCTCTGGGCCTCTGTTGTCAATGTCATTTCTTCCTTGGGAATCCGAAAGGCCTTGGTCGGGATAATTTCGTAGATAATCTGAACAGCAACCTCGCTCTTGGATTCTGCTTGGATCGTGACTGTGGAATTGGAGCTTTCAGTCGTGCTGTGGCTCCCTTCGACGTAAATGCCCCACCCCGAAGCTTGAGCAGCCGCTGCGATGCTGCTACCGCAGGATTCCATGGCAGACAGGAATCGGTCGGACGACTCAGCACTGAAAAGCATCACCTCCTTGGTGTACAGCCAGGAGTAAACAGCGGACAAAACAGCGGCGCTTCTATCAGAGGTTTTGGTGGTTTCGCCACAAGATCGCGCTCACCCACGCCCAGACAGAGCCCGTATGTTGCCAAGCACCCGCTTGCTTTCCCGACCACCTGCTCATCAGAGCTGTAGCGATTGCCCATTTCCAGTTCGCTTTCGGACGCTGACAGTACTTTGATCATCGAAGAGAGCCTGTCCATCACTGCCTGTGGGTCGCTTGAGCTCTGCAGCCCTTTTCTCCATTCACCGAGGCCCAGGTCCGACCCTATCTGTGCTAGACGCTGTTCGGACTGGCCAAACGCCTCCATTCGGCCGGCAGCGATGTGGCTCCTCATATCGGTGACCACATCAGACGCTTCCTTCGTTTTCGCCTTCAAACGCTCGGATCTCGCTTTTCGTTGAGCTTCAGTTCCCTTCCCGTCAATGCTTTCACTGCGCCACATCGTCGTGAGCTTTAGCCGTTCAGCAGCCGGCAGCTGGCTCATGATGGGGTCTAAGTCCTCCTTAGCGCAAGTCAGAATTGGCGTGGAGCCGATCACGTCCGCGACCCCTGCTGGGAGTCCGTACGTGCGCACCAGTTGACGCACTTCGTGATCTTGACTCCAAATTTGCCACACAGCATCTTCTTGGTCGCTCGTTGCTCTGCTCTCCTCGTGCTTCAGTAGCGCTTGCAAGCTGGCCCACGTCGCGTTTTGAACAGCCCTCTCAGTCGGGAACTCCCTGCAGAAGGCGCGAAACCAAGCGCTGGCGCTGGGAACCGAGGTCTTGGCCAAGATTTTGGCGCGAGTTCCCAACGTCAACATTAGCGACGCTCGCGCAGCTGGCGGGAGCTTCGGCAGGGCTTGTTCTGCTTCCAGTGCCTGTGCCAGCCCATTCAGATCGCAGACGTGATTTTCCACCAAGTGCGGCGCAAACTTGCTGACATTGAACTCGTGCAGCAGCTCAACGACGTCTAGATCCAAAGTGGCGGTCGCAGCCTTGAGCAGTCGGTCTCTCTGCTCCACGGAGTACGAGGTCTCATCAGGCTGGTTCCGTCGTATATCCACGATTAGCTCTTCCAGCTGATCCGTCGGCAATGGCGCCTTCGAGCTGCGCCCAGCGCTCATCCATGAGGCTTCTTATCGGGGAGGCGAAAGAAAGAATGAACTCCCCACGGACGCACTCATGCTTCCTTGTGGCGGAAGCACAATATAGCGAGATCTCGCTGTATCGTCCTGAATTTGGTGTCGTCATCTGGGTAGTATGTAGAGCGTGAAAGCCCTGCTGAACTGGTGTAGAAGCAGCTACCATCGGGTTGTAAGCGTACGTACTAGATTCGTTCGGGTTCACGCATGAAGTCGTAATGGACGCGGACGCCACGGACCGGCCCATACCTGTAGGCGCGCATGTGCTAGCCACCACAAGTAGCTAGCAAGCTGGCAGAAGATGTGTAGGATTCTGCTGGACGGAATTGGCTGAGTTGTGAGCAAGACTAAACGACTGTAACGTACCTCACCAAAAACTAAAGCTATGAGGTGGTAATGGATACGAATCGTATCATACGATATGAGGCAGTCGACAGCGTTGTGTATCCAAAGCTCTGAACGCAAATATCAACTTGCAGCTATGGATTTGTCGGGTGTTCGTTATTGCCTTGGACGATTCAAGCAGGAAGAAACTTCGCTGGTGAGCAAAAAAATGTTTGTATATAAGTTCACCATGGGCATGAATTGCCTAGCGCAGGCCAAGCGTCCTTTAAAGCGTGGATAGAGCGACCAAGATCAATGCTGAGACCGTTAGTGCAACTGCATCGAATAGGCTACTCCCCGAGCTTGTGATAGCCGTGGTTTCTTCGTTCGATGGCGTTCTCTTGTCGCCAAACACGGTGGTGGAGTCGGCGTGCTTGTACGAGTTGGCCTTCTCCCCGTTGCACACTGGCTGAGCCACAGAGCACTCCAACACCGTCACTGCTTATACAAAACCAGCACGTCAGATAACTTTGCCAACTTCCTCGACTAAGCGGACAGGTTTCTTACCTTTAGGGGTCGACGGCAGTTCCGTCGATATGTTCTTCGGACAGCTCAAAATCGTGTCGCGATCTGGCGTGTAGTTATCGTGCTCCACCGTCGACGCTGCTGTAGTCGTGTACGCCTTCTTGAGGTTGTCGTACTCCGGATACGGCGTGAAGACGCACTCGGTTTTGTTGTTGTCGCAGTCGTCCGGCTGGAAGTAGCCGACACCGTATTTCCCTGCGTCGGCTGTCTTGGTCAAAGCTGCACAAATACACAAGCCGAAGCCTCAGTCCGGAAGTCCAGGCAACAAATTGACCAAGGGAGTATAGCTATACCTGAGCTATCCAGCAGATTGGCGACTTCAGTGGAGAATTCGAACACGTTGCCGCCCACGATTTCGTCCGTCATCTCTTTCTCTTCATTCATCCACTTTGCCTGCAGCACGAAGATATTAGAATTCCTCAAAGCAAATAATGCGCTTGACGGCGTGACTTACATCGTAGAATGCGCGTTGATTTTCGTAGCCTTCGATCGTGTTCTCGCCCTTGTTGCAGCCGAACTCGCCAAACATCAACGGACGAGCGTACCCAACCTCGGCGTACTCTGCCATGAGCTTCTTGAGCCCAGTTGACTGCGAATACTCCGTGTGCGTTGCTGGATCGCACTCAACGTAGGGATTGAACCCCATCCTGCAAATGCACACGACAAGATAATGTAAAACGCTATCGATCCGCAGTAATTCTCAGGTATCAAACAGTTTTCAGACTCACCATTCCGCGCGTGTGTTCTCATCGTCGTCCACAGGACAGTCGTAGTACGAAATCCACTGCGACCGAGGCGGAATGTCAGCAATATCAAGCCCGATAGGCACTTGACGCACGGCACCCGAGCAACTCGCCGCATAACTTCGCATATCGCGAAGAAATGCCTTCACACACGGCGCTGTTGTCGTTCCGTCAGCTCCGTTCTTGACCTGCAGGTTGTTTTCGTTGCCAACGCTGAATCCGAGGGTGTTGTCGTAAACGGCGAAGGCGTTGTAGACCATTTGCCCTCGCGTGAACAAGTGATCAGGGTAGCATTTGGGCGGCTCATAATCCAAAATGGAGCAGTCCTCACATCTATCATCGATTACCATAGCAGCACGAAAGACTTAGTCAGGAATGCCAAGTAGAATACAAGTACTAGCAAAGCAAAAGAAGACTTACGGAGCAGTGATGCCGATGAGCACATAGATCCCCGCCTCTGAACAAGCGCACATGAACTTGTCGTGTGATACGCTCGGATCCACCGAGTACAGTCGAATCGTGTTCACGCCAAGATCCTTCATGATTTCGAGGTGGGGCTTCCACACCGATTCATGCTCGTCGGCGGCCCAGTCGTAGTTGCTGACGTCGGCCAACTCTCCGCCGTTGGGTCGTGGGTAGTACGCCATCCCTTTCTGTCTAAACTCGAGGCCGCTGTTGGAGTCGAAGAACTTGTTGCCCTTGGTGACGATCGGCGCGATCCATGCGTCGACTGAAGTACCTTGGATCGACACAATGGCAGCGGTGCATAGCGCAACCGATGCACAGAGGCCACGGACTCGGGAAGTAAACGCCATGCGTGCGCGGGCCAAAGATAAATGCAAAATGACGGATACCTGCCCAGTATCGACCGTCACCTTTCGGGGAAACCCCTCGGTTAGGACAGGCGATGGTGACCGACCTGCACTTCATGTATGAGCCACAACCAAATTTTTCAACCATTTCATGCACATCATACGGCAAAGAGAGGAGCACGTTACAAGGAGCACTCGCACGCGAATGGCGTGCCGACCTCTTAGGCGCCCACCAGGAGTTCTTCCTCTTGTTCACGGTTGGAACGCTGCGCTGCGTTCCGCTGTGTAAGTACGTTTCGCGCGACCTGTCGGCGGTTCATCCGGTCGCCAGCAAACCAACTTTGACCGTAGCTTGGCTTGACGCTATTCGGGTACGAGGTGACCTCCCTCCAGACAATCGATCCGTCCGAGCTGCCGGCGCCTCTGAAGAAGCTCGTGGCGCCTCGGATGCTGAACTCCCTCGTGACCTTGTTGTCCTTGCGGTAGCCGTATCCGCAGCCTCGGGACGTGGGGACGTTCACTTCTACCTGCCCCAGATAGACCCCCACGACTTGATCGAACGACTTGTGTGCGGTCCTGACTTTGAGCTCCGCAGCCTGAATCTTCTCTGGTGTAGCTTTACTTGATGTGCGCAATTTGTTGAGTCGACGATTCATCTCCACCACGTTGGCGCGTTGCTGCTTGACAGACAGCGCCGCCTGAACATTCTGAGCGTCGAGTTTGGCGGCCGCGATCTCATTCAGAGGAGCATTTTGGGTTTTCAAGGCCTTCCATCGAGCTTGCAACGCCGTCACTTCACCTTGGTTGATGGTATCGATAAGAGGGGACTTGTCCAGCATTACGCCGTTGATGCGGTGGGCCGCTTCAGGGAGGGCCATCTCCCGCACCTGGTTGGCCGTCTCCAAGTCGTAGAAGCGGCTCGAGTCCGTCACATTTTCCTGGCCCTTCTCGTTGAACCGGCCCTTGAGTTTGCTGTGGTGGCGATCGACATGGTCCACGTCGCGATGGCCGCGCGGATCATTGCGCTCGGTGGCCTGCTCGAACGCGAAGTCGACGCCGTCCACGTGACGGATTTCCTCGACGACTGCGCGCCGTTCGCGCTCGATCCGCTGCCTGCGTCTGACGTACTTCTTGGAGCTGCACCGCATCGCCGTCGTGAACGTACCAACAGCAGCCCCCGTCGCGAGGCCCATTAGCGCGGCTTGCTTCATGTCGGCTCCGGTAAGCCAGGCACCAGTGACGCCGCCCACGACCGACGATGCCGTGTCGATGCCGACGCCAAGGCCGTGGCGCGTTACGACCCAACTCGCAGCGCTGCGCTTGAGCGAGTCGAAAGTTGCCGCGCCGGCGCAAGCAAACAGACCGCCGACGGCGCCCACAGCCGCAGCGACGCCCACACCTTCAAACGGCTTGCGGTCATTCCACACGTTAGTGATGGTGTTGCACGTCACGGACGAAAGGGTGGAGCCAGCCACCATTCCGACGCCCTTGGTCGCGATCGCCTTCCACGCAGCCATCTTGACGCCCTGCGCGACCCCCTGGGCGAGCCCGCCGACACCCGCGCACAGCGCGCCGCCGACCAACCCGGTGACGGCGCCGATGGCGGTACTCTCGCCCCACTCTTTCCATGATGCCGGTTTGCCCTGCACGCAGTTGGTGATGGTCGTTGTCGCACCACTCACGCCAGCCGAGATGAGGCCACCGGCGACGACAGACGCGGCCCCGAACGATGACGCTGCAACGACGGCGCCGGCCACCACGAGCGCGACCGACACCAAGCACTGCGCGATTGCGGAGCCTGTGCCCCCCATCGCCAATGTCGAAATGTTTCTGCCGACCGTCCAGCACTCAAGTCCAGCGGGCGGAAGGCATCCGGCAGTGCACCTGGGTGCAGTGGTTCACTGCTCATTCCCGAATCATCAGCAGAATGGGCACAACGGCGTCCGCACCCCAACGATCCGCCTCCGACTGGCGCTCCTCCTCCGAAGCGTCCGATGACTCGGAGCCGGAGGAGCTGCTGCCGCCGTTCGTGGGGAGCGTGCAGGACATGGTGGTCCTCGCCAAGAGCGAGCAGGACGGCGTGAGGCTCACGACGCTGGTGCACCAGGCGGCCGAGCAGGAGCTCGACCTCTTCCACTACGCAGCGGCCGTGGGTGACCAGGACTTCTTCAGTATGATCATGGCGTTCCTGCCCACGCCCGTGTTCGCGCGCGAGATGCGGCGCCGCAACGCTAACGACCGACGGCCACTCGAGTGCTGCGAGCACATGCACCCGGCGCTGGCCTCGGCGCTCAAGACCTTCTTCATCAAGAACGGCGTGGATCTGGACGCCGACACCAACACTGCCGGGGCTGACAGAGCGCAAGTCGGACGGGCCGTCAAGCTGGATAAAATCGTGGGGATGAACGAGCCTCGCGAACGCATCATGCAGGCCATTCGGCTGAGTGAAACAACGCCCGACGTGCCCGTCAAACCGCTGCTGCTTGAGGGCCCGCCTGGTACGGGCAAGAGCTTTTTGGCGACGTGCATCGCCGCCGAACTGCAGCGCGAGGTCGTGGAGATCAAGACGCACGACGTGCTGAGCCACCGACTCGGTGGAACCGAGTCCCAGGTCCGCGCGTACTTCGAGCGCGCTGCGCGGGTCAAGCCCTTGCCAGCGCTCGTGGTCATCAACGAGTTTGAAAGCTTGTGCCCGAAGCTAAAGGACTCGAGCGAAAGCTGGCACTCGACGCTGCGTCAGTGCTTCCTCACGCTCTTCGACGACACCATCGACCCCGCGTCCAAGTTGTGCGGAGTCCGCGTGGTCCTGACGACCAACTTCGTGGACAACGTCGACCCCGCAGCCTTGAGCCGCATGGAGCGCATCCACATTCCGCTGCCGTCCGCGTCCGGCCTCAAACTGCTCTTCCCCAAGCTCTGTCGCGAGCGCGTGCCGCAACTCGGCGTCCAGCGCGTAGATTGGGACTCTGTTGCCTCTGTTGGTCACGAACTGCTGTCTGTGCGTGGAGTTCAAGACGTGATCGCCAGTGTGGCGAGGAAGCAGCTTGCGTCTGACACCGCTGTGACCTCGAGCGACTTCGAGGCAGCAGTGTACGAAGTAGTCGGCGACGTCCAGCCAGAACCACTCAAGCGCGCCGACAAGTTCATCCGCGTGGATATCCCGCCCAAACGCGTGCGGTCCGCCAACCTGGCGTCGTGTGTCGCGCGATGCGGCTGGCGTTTTTCCAGCGCTCCGACTGCGGTATACCGACAGGTTTTCACGCTTGAAGAGGTCAATGCGACGTCGGCGTTTATCCTCCGTGAGGTGGAGACAGAGAAGGTGTTTTCCGGTCGAGGCTGCTACCGCGCACTGGTTAACCCACGCGCCGACCAAAGCCAGTGGAAGCCTTTCGACAAGTACGAGGTGCGAACACGCTGGTCGCGTTTGTAGGCTCCATTACTATGCTGACTCGCTCTTTGGCTTGGTAAACTTGCAGGTCTTCGTGCGGTGCGTTGCCTCTGACGGTGATAAGATGGTGGCGGATGAAACGACCTCGATGTTCATCGAGTCGAGCGGGAACGCAGGCGTGCAGAGACTTGAGTGGACAAACACTGGAGCCCACCTAGCAGTGTATGAACGCGGGGCGTCGTCGGCTACTGTGTCGGCATGCCTCGCACCGCGGATGAAGCTGTTTGAAGCGGACTGTGTTTTCGTTGAGTCCAAAGCCAAAGCCGAGCTCACGAACGCAGACCCCAAGTCCGTCTTGGTGCTCCGCACCGACGACGACTCGTACCTTGTGGGCAGTGATGCTGTTCTAGTGGTGGGAGGAGCGACTTTGGACACGGCGGATCGACTCGGCTACCGAGTCTTCCTGGCTGCAACAGCGCCAACTGAGCTCGTTCCACCGCACGTTGCCGTCGCCTACCTTTCACCTCCTGACACACCGGAGAACGCGGGTTTGAAGCGGCTTGTGATCGGCCAAAAGAGATTCGTCGTGTGTTCAAACACGGCGACCACGGTCGGTTTGACTTTGCGCGCCAATAGCGTCTTCTACGCGGCGTTGGGCGCGGTCTACGTGCGCCAAACGCAGTTTAATGCCGCAGACATCGAGAATCTGCGCCGGCTTGGCCACAAAGTGCTGGCAGTGCCTTCAGACGGCCCCACGTCAACTTGGAGCGGCCCTTCCATCGCCGACTGCGCTCGCGAGGCCAGTTTCCTCGCCCTATTCGACGTGTACACACCGTGCACCGGTCCGAGTCAAGTGCTTGCGGCCGGAACGACTGTGATGCTCGACGTTGAGGTAAGCCATCGCAGTTTGATCTATTGACGGTGATGCACAGCTAACTAACCCTTACATTGTCGGTCATTTTCCAGGCTCTGTCGCAACCGCTTTCGGCCGACAAGAAGTTTGTCATCCTTCGGTACTACCCGTCGGCGCAACTGGTGCTTCAGGAGCTGTCGACGCACCACGGCGCAGTCATCAACGAGTCGGGTGCACGGGTGCGTGACAAGGGCTACAACGACGATGTGTTCCTCAAAGGATACCGCAAGGGCTGGTATGAGGACGTCTACTGGCGCACGGTGGGCGACCACCCGAATCGGTTCCTCTCCGGCGGCGTGGACGGCAGCGATTACAAGTTTAACATCCGCAATGAACACGGCTTCGGCTTCGACAACCGCCGCATCATGGTCAAGTTACCGGGAGATGGCGTCGTTTTCTGCCGAGGCGTGGACGGTGACGCAGGAAATCCCAAGATGGCGTGCGTACTGTTCAATGCCGACGGGTCCGTGCGGGATGCAGAGGGGTACAAGGGTCTTCTTGGACGCTGGAGCGACATCGTCCAGTAAGAGGAGTTCTGGTCAGCATGAACGCAGCATATACGTATTGTTTTCGATCACATTCATGTACATTTTAACCATTACATGAGAACAGAGTGCGGCATCCATAGGAGCGCATTACAAGGAGCCTTCGCACGTGATTACCGATCTAATTGACGCTCTAGAAGAGCGACATGGCAGTGGCCGCCACCGTGGCCACCGACAGAACGAACGCCGCGGCAGACGCCGTGGCACTGGCGCCGCTGCTGCCAGTGGTGGCGTCCGTAATGGACGCGCTGCTGCTCTCCTCGTTCGTGGGCGTTCGCTTCTCACCGACGGCGGTGCCCGTGGAGTGGTGCTCGTAGCTGTTGCCCTTGATGCCGTTGCAAACGGGCTGCGTGATGGTGCACTCCAGAATGGGGACTGCAAACAATGCACAGGATTGATAGGGTGAGTTCTCAAGCCCAAAGCTGCGGTCACACGAGTAGGCGGAGATAGCTTACCCTTGGGCGTAGGCGGCAGCTCGCTCGAAATGTTCTTCGAGCACTCCAGGATAGCGGTGCGCGTCGGCGTGTAGCTGTCGTGCTCGACCGTGGAGTTCTTCGTGGTCGTGTATGCCTTCTTCAGGTTGTCGTACTCCGGGTAGGGCGTGAAGACGCACTCGGTGAGCTCGTTGTCGCAGTCTTCCGGCATGAAGTAGCCGACGCCGTACTTGCCTGCGTCGCCGGTCTTGGTCAGGGCTGAAGAAGGGTTACGAACACAGATTAATCGTAAGTAAAGAGTTGAATGAAGCAGCATCAACGGAAGAGGACGCACTCTTGCTCTCGACCAGGTTGGCGATCTCCGTCGTGAACTCGAAGACGTTGCCGCCCACGATCTCGACCGTCATCTCCTTCTCCTCGTTCATCCACTTGGCCTGCACACACCAATTCGTCAGCAACCGATCCTTATCAACATCTTCACAGTCCTTTGGCACTTACATCGAGGAACGAGCGCTGGTTCTCGTAGCCCTCGACAGTGTTCTTGCCCTTGTTGCATCCGAACTCGCCGAACATGAGCGGGCGAGCGTAGCCGACCTCGGCGTACTCGGACATGAGCTTCTTGAGACCCGTCGACTGCGAGTACTCCAGGTGCGTGGCGGGGTCGCACTCGACGTACGGGTTGAAGCCCATCCTGTTGTGGAGCACAAGAGACGGTTATTAAGTGCAACCAGCTCTCTCTTTGCGGGGAGATCGTACCATTCGGCACGGGTGTTCTCGTCATCGTCAATGGGGCAGTCGTAGTACGAGATCCACTGCTCACGAGGAGGGATGTCGGCAATGTCCAGGCCGATCGGCACCTGACGCACGGAGCCCGAGCAGCTCGCAGCGTAACTGCGCGTGTCACGCAGGAAGGCCTTGACACACGGAGCCGTGGTCGTGCCAGCGGCACCGTTCTTCACCTGGAGGTTGTTCTCGTTACCGACACTGAAACCGAGCGTGTTGTCGTACACCGCGAAGGCGTTGTAGACCATCTGCGCGCGCGTGAACAGGTCGTCCGGGTAGCACTTGGGCGGCTTGAAGTCGAGCACCGAGCAGTTCTCGCACCTGCCAGCAGAACACTGTTAGTAAATTTCAAGAAACTACAGCAGCACCTAAAGTCTATGTACTCACGGAGCGGTCATGCCCACGAGCACGTAGATGCCCGCATCGGAGCACGCGCACATGAACTTGTCATGGGACTTGCTGGGGTCCACCGAGTACAGTCGGATGGTGTTGACGCCGAGGTCCTTCATGACCTCGAGGTGGGGCTTCCACACGGCCTCGTGCTCGTCGGCGGCCCAGTCGTAGTTGCTCACGTCGGCCATCTCGCCGCTGTTGGGGCGCGGATAGTACGCCATACCCTTGATGCGGAACTCCATGCCGGTCTCCGAGTTGAAGAACTTGTTGCCCTTGGTGATAATGGGGGGCACCCACGCATCGGCCGGGGACACGACGACAGCGGTGGCGAGTGCGGCGGCGGCGCAGAGGCCGCGGGCACGGGAACCGAAGGCCATTGTTGATGAGGTTGGAGTGAGGTGAGGTGAGGGGCTGTAAGTACTGAGTCGACCTGTGCAGGGCTTGTCAGTGGGGAGTCCGGTCGCTTCTCGTCGACGGCGAGCAGCAAAATGGAGAATGAAGAGCGGTCAGATGTCAGCAGGTGGGAGAGCGAGCTCAGCTCATGCGCTCTTATGAGCTGGTGTCAGGATTTGGGGCTCTACCGGCATTTGGACGACGCAGCTGCAAGTGACGATTTCGTGTGTGGGAGGCTGGATATTTCGTTTGCTTGCACTCGTGCATGACCGGGTTGACCACTGCAAACTGTTGCTGTTTTTGCTGTTTGTGAGATTGATTAATCCCAGCTGGAGGTAGTACAGAAGTTTGTCCTACAATTCATGAAAACTTTATGCATAGATATCTCAGGTAAAAGTTGTGTAAAGAAATACATGGGTACTGTAAGGTAAATAGTTACTATGGTAGCTAATTACTTTGGTTCTTGGTATACACATGAAAACTAAATTGATTTGGGAAGGTTATTATTTTGCATTGTTCCCTTTGTGCTGTAGCATTGTAACTTTCGCGTAGAGACGACCTCTGCATGTTGAGACTGCAGAGAGAGTCCCAGGGAGGGAACACGCCAGTTGTGTAGGGATCGGCGCCGCCAGCCGCTGGCAACTCGTCGTGTTGCTGGCGCAAAACGCTGTCCGAATCTCGTTCTGTGTTGCCCTCTCGTCCTTTTCGCCCACTTCGAATTGACACGACCGCGCTACAGCAGCGACACCTTGTCCAGCATGACGCTGCGTGGCGAAATACAAAGCACTGGAGCTGCAGGCTTCGACTTGCAGTAGAGGACTGCCGTGCGGTGCGTGTTGTAACCAGATCGCTCACCGAGATCGCTACCCTGGCTGCATGGGTTTCATACACGAAATATATGACCACCATCGGCGTCAGGGTTCGGCCAAGCTGGACTAACCGACAAGGGGGGGGGGTCCAGTAGCTTATAAACGCGCTTCCCGTGGATACTGCAGCGACGTGCTAAGCTTTTGGCGGTTACCATCCCAAAAGATCTGTGCGTGCACTGCAGCAGAATCCTTCCGACAAAAATGTAAGTTCGCTCAAGGTGAGCTGAGATCGGTATATGATCACCTGGACACCGTGTCCTCTCCTCGGTGTTCGACCGTAAGCAGCAAGGTGGCATTGATCATGTTAACCATTTAGGATAGTCTGGCCAGGGTCCTGGTCATCACGACCACGATGCTATCGACGAGGCGGGATCGATGCATTTTCCAACTGGAGCGGAACGACACAATGTCCTGTACATGAAACACTGCAAGTACACTTAAACGAGGTACCGGCCGCATCAGTTGAAAAGCCTGATGTACATGTTTCGAGGAGGAAAGTTGGAAGACACCTCGCCAGGACTACAACGACCACGATGCTAGCAATAAACCCTCGTTAGCTGTGGAATTCAGCGAAGCAGTTCCTCTTGCCGTTGAGGCAGAGGTGCAGCCAACAGACATCGCACATTTTCCTGGTTTGCTTCGTCTGGCCACCAGCAAGTCGCGCTTTTCGGCTGCAAAGGAAGCACGGGTGTCGAGTCTCGCTAAAAGCGGGCAAGTGAAGTATGCGCCGTGCTGCCACTCCGGACTCCAGTCTCGCTTTATTGCGAAGAGAAGACGGCGGCATCACACGGCACAGCCCCTCAGAGTCCGCGTCCGCAGCACGCCCGCTCTCCACGTCGTCATCGTCGAGGTCATCGTCGCTATCGTCGTCGAAATCAATCCATGAGATGCTGGAGCCCGTTCGTTGGCCGTAGAAAGTCTTGGGGACAATGGACCCGCCCTCTTCTTCTTCCTCCTCCTTCTTGTTACTTTGGCCTGCGCGCATCGTGGCTTCAACCTGCTAGCAGAAATCTTTTTTTTTCACTGATGATGTTGGAACATTATTTCATGTACGTCACACCATATTTTTATCCCATACAAAAAAGGCTCACACGCAATAATGGAGATCCAGCTGAACGCGGCTCCGGACGACGAGGCGCCCGCGGCGTCCCCGAGCCTCTCGCACGCCGTGCCCATGTCCTCTCTGCTGTCGACGGACGTGAGCACGCCTCGAGAGGATGACGCAATCCGCCTGGACGCAGCTGCCGCCGCCCCCTCTCGCTCCGGACTCTCGAGCCTCATGAACTCGCCGCTCAAGGACGAACAAGAAGAAGACGACGGAGAAGAGGAGGGCAGTGTGGGAATCGTCGAAAATGACGTCGTACTTAGTGCGAGTCAGGAGTCCGACGCTGTCCAAAACGACGACCAAGATGTCGAAATGGAGGCGCCCGTGTCGAAAATGCCGGCGCTGCGGCGGCCCGAGCTGCGCGCGCTGCAGACGCAGCTGCAGTCGGCCCTGCAGCGCGTGAGGACGGAGGCGGCCCCCGCCGCCAAGCGCGCCAAGAAGGGCAAGCAGAGCCGCCGCGCCAAGGCCGCTGTCAATAATGCACCGGCTGAGGCCGAGCTGGAGCTGCACCGCGCGCTGGACCAGCTGCAGCGCGCCGTCAGCACGCAGTTCGCGCGCCCGGACCTGCTGCTTGACGTGGTGCAGCTGAGTCTGGGGCTCTGTGAGGCCGCGGACGCCAAGGACGCCGTGCAGAGCTGGGTGGTGCTGACGCAGGACAAGCAGAGCGTGGATTTCGACAAGACCGCGGACAAGCTGCCGGCCAAGCCCATCTACGGCCAATTGGCGGCCGTCGTGCGGCGCGCCGTGCTCGCGGCGGACGAGACGACGGCCTCCGAGCTGCTGACGCTGGTGCTGGACTGGACTCTGGCGCACCCGACGCCCGCGCACTGGATGTGGCTGCTGCTGTCGGTCTCGCACATGAACTCGTACTGCGTCCAGGAGTTTCTGTTCCGCGCGGCCATCGCGCGCTGCCAGGAGGATAAGGAGGAGGTGGCCGAATTTCTGCCCGTGTTGGAGCTCCTGGCCACCAAAAACCCAGCTCAGATGGTGGACATTCTGCGGGACGTGCTGGACGAGTGCGTGGCAAACGACAAAGTTTCGGTTGGAGCAGGACTCTGTGCATTGGACGTGGTGTATCGACTTGTGGCTCTGGCGAGCGGCTCGGCGGTGCTGGTGAGCTCGTGTGATGACAACCTGCAGTGGATCGTAACGCAGGAGCTGGTCACGTCTCTAGCGGCCAAGTTCACAACGCAGAGTGGCAGCAGTAATGGGAGCGTCGGTGTTAACTTGGCGAGCTTGGAGGCGCAGCTTCTGAAGTTTCTCCGGGAGCGAAGCGCGGAGCTGCCCAACTCTGGCTTCCAGTTGCTGCTGCTGCTGCAAAATCTAAGGGCGTCGGAGTTGCCGACACAGGTTGGAGCTTCCGTGGTCTCTTTCCAGAAGAAGGTCCTGGAATTTGCCGGATCTGAGTCTTCATGTGCGTTCGCCAAGGGAATCTACCGCTTCCTCCCGTATATCTGCCAGAATACCCTTCGGTTGCTGCAAACGATGGTCCCAGCTCAAGGAACGACGGCGGACGTTGACATGCAATCAGGCAACGACGAAAAGGTCTCGGACGAGGCCGCTTGCCAGCGTTTCGATGAGTGGAAGCAGTGGCTGTGTCTGCTGGCGAAGGCGATTTCGCGCAAGGAGGTGACGGAGCAGCTGATCAAGGCAGAGTTGATGCTGGCTGAGCTCAACGAGGTGCCTCTCGCGCTCCCACTCACAGACGTCCAGCCGGCCGATCGCGCACTGTGCGAGCTGCTGACGTCGTTGTTGACGCCGGCGTCCCCTGAGTATGTTGCCTTTGTGCGCGGCATCATCCATGAGTGCCAAGCGGCTGCCCCACAAGCGCGGCGGTGCATTCTCGGCCTTATCCAGACACTGCTAAGTCTGAACGACATCGAGGAGTTGATTAGTGCCGCCTACGAGCTGCCGGTTACGCTGTCCACAGAGCAAGCTGCTTCCTGTATGCAGCAGCTAGCTCGCGCAAAGAGTTGGAGCGGCAGTCTGGATTCATTTGCGTTGTGGAAAGGAGTGCGGGGAGTCGAGTTTTGGGAGTGCTTTCTTGACTTGGTGCGCTCCAAAGATGGGGTGGTTGCTTCACGCGCGCTTCACCTATTGGCAAGGACGCCATTCTTGTCTCTGGAGGACCCGAACTGGCAATATCGCTGCGTGCGCAAGCTGTCAGGCGTATATTTCTCGCTGCTGCGGCAATATCGCGCCGAGCTCGTGCTGCAAGGCGACAAAATCTCAAGAGTGCTGAGTGTTCCGACTGACAGTGATTTACAGAGCCGCCTGCAGTCTCTAAAGATGATCTTGTTCCGAGTATTGGCGCTCGACGGAGGCGTTGCGCACTACCCGTCGTCTGTCTACAGCATGTTCGCATCCGTGTGGCTGGATGCTCTGCTGAGCACGACGTCTGCAACGAGCATCCCGACACATTTCCCGAATGGAGTAAACTTTGCCGACATGGATAATGACGACGATCTACTGGACGAGCGACAGGTGATTCGCAGTGAGCGTACCATCAGTTCGAAGTGTACGAACTTGCAGTCATCACAAGTGATTACCAAGGTTCCCGAGGCGAAGCTCGTCTACCGCAAGACGCTCGACTCGTCATGGGAGCGTGAAATGCACGCGGCGCGCGTCTGCAGTGTGTACGCGACCGAAATCTTCTCCCAGCTTCTAGCGTCCACAGGAACAGCGGCCAGTTTGCTGGTGGATGATCAGGATAACGCCAATACTATGCCCAACGCTGAGGAGGACGAGCAGCTAGAGCGGCGACTGAAGATAGTGGTGGATATGCTGCTGGAGCGTGTGATCCCGTGCTGTGGCATCCCAAGTGACGACATTTACAAGGATATGCTGCCGAATCGCTCGAGTTTTGACGTGGATTTGCGTGTGGAGCAGTGGCTGAACCACTTTCCTGCGTTCCTGCCGCTGCTGCGCACGGTCATCTCAACGTCGACAGCACTGGGCTCCTTGCAGTTGCTACGCCTTGTGCCAGTGTTCAAGTCGGCACTTATCGTCTTGCTGGGTCACTGGAACAGCGTGAAGGGGGAGCTGAGCATGGAGAACATCGACGTGCCGCCCTACATGCGCAACCAGAACCAACTCGCGATCACGTGCGAGTTGATGCGCCTGTTGCGCTCGACCAATTGGCTGCCGACGCCTTTGGGCAAGGCCGCAGAGCTGCTGCCACTGACGACGCCAGCCGACATTCGCTCGATCCTCTTCAGCTGCTGGTTCTACCTGTCGGACCACCCTCCGAGGATCGGGTCGCGTGCCCCCACTCCTGCGACGTCTGCGACCACGTCGCCCATTTCTTCGGGCTCCTCTCCTGCCGGCTTCAGCATTACGGGGCTGGCCACTGGCGGCTCCACCTCAAGCTCGAGTCACCCACCTCTCGAGTTCTATCTAATTCCACTGCGGAAGGCTCTGCATCGCAACATCCGCAAGGTTGGCGCAAAGTACCCACTCTTCATGTGCTGAGATCCCTGCTGTAGCAGTCAAGAAGAAATAAATAGTCGGTGGATGTCAATTACGTCGAAGTGTATGCACTTGTATCTGAACTGAGCTTGAGCCCGATTCCACTCGCAGTGATACTTCGAAGTACTAAGTACAGTCACCACGTGGCGACTAAAGCTTATGGTACTGCTCGTACTGCTCGTACTGCTCGTTCAGGTTCAACGTGGTTGTGACTGGCAGTTCTACAGTAGTGGCTTCCCGACTTTTTTTGCGAGTGAATCAAAACGGTAGAGTCCGCCTTCATTGCGATCCTCTACAGTAGTAGGGTATTGCAATGCAAGGAACTTGCACGGTGTTGGCTTGCTGGCCTGCAAGGCAGACCGAATACGTGTACTTAAAAGTAGTCAAGTGTGTGGGATACGCGATTACTACTACCGTATGACAAATACTTCACTTGGCAATTCGTACAGACCGATACGTACGCAACATCCGACTAATCATTGAGTGATCTAAAACACCAGCCAAAGTTTCCGCTCCGCAACGCCTTCAAACCGCAATTTGCGCCCCGTTAATTCAATCTGACCCCAAGCCCGTAAGCCCATGCAGACCACCACTCTCCACCCGCCCAACTGCCTCGCTCTGAGCGAGGACGTCATCAGCAGTGTGATGCAGCGTGTTGCGCCATATATACTACTGCATTGTATTCTATAGTGAAATGAAGTAAGAATCAAAGGATATGTTTTAGGGCATCTGATTGGATAATACAAAGGGCATTAAGAGCCATTCAAAGGGAAAGAAGCCAGCGCTGCTGGCAGCAATATGATAAGCCGAGGGATGTGAAGGAAGCAGGCTTTCATTGCCATCACTTCCACTTAGAAGGTGTAGGCAAGGAAGGGCTCTTGGTACAGGCACTTGAGGTGTTTCGGAAAGTGAATACGTGTTGGGCGAGCGAACTGCGCTCGCCTTAGCCTAGCTACCGAGGTGTTGATGCCACAGATTATGCGCAGAGGATACTTACAGCACTAGGGCCATGAGCAATCGCTCTGGCAACTACAACCACCATACCTATCAAGTTGACTTGTACCTAAGCAATGTCATACTACCTGTCTCATCTTTGGTTCGTAAATTGAGGTTGTGTCGCGGGGTCGTCCTTACCGTCAGGAGTGTGGGCACAATGGTGATGAAGTCGATGATACTGACAGGTGCTATGAAGTAACTGAGGCGGTTCTGGGCGGCGTACAAGTGCATGACCTAGAGTGCGCAGCAAACGATAAACGTGAGACTATGATTTTCTCATCGAAGTCATCGTGTACAAATGTGGTCAGGGCCTGTCACCGAGGCAGGCTCAACACTCCCCCTCAACTTGATGGGAAGGCAACCCCGCTTGCGGCGACCAACTTCATGAGCTGTGGCGTCGGCAACGCCTTCGTGAGGAAGTCGGCGAGCTGTCTTGAGGACGGAACGTGCTCGATCTTGATGTGACCGGCATCAACATGGTCACGAACGAAATGCAGACGAAGATCGATGTGCTTAGCTCGAGCGGAGCAACCGCGATTGCAGGCAATGCTAGTCGCAGCTAGGTTGTCGACGAGAACCCGGATGGTTGCACGCACTTCAACATGCATTTCAGCGAGAAGCTGACGAAACCACTGCAGCTCTTGCGTTGCGAGAGCGAGGGCCATGTACTCAGCTTCAGCAGTGGAGAGCGCGACAGCATTTTGGCGCTTGCTATTGAAGATCACAGGACATCCGTCCATCAGCACTAGCACTCCTGAAGTCGATCGGCGTGTAGCCATGTCTCCACCCCAGTTAGCGTCACAGTAGGCACCAATCGAGAGGTTTGATGGAAGGCCACGCTTGAACACGAGCGACGCACGCTGTGTACCCTTCAGATAGCGGAGCACACGGATAGCAGCGTGCCAATACATTGCCTGAGCCTTGTCCAGGTACTGGGATAGCGCGCTAATGGCTACACAGATGCCCGGGCGCGAGCCATTGGCGACGTAGAGTAGTGAGCCGATGAGTTGGCGATACGGCATGTTCGCAGCGAGCTGCGGGGCTCCGTCGATGGGACGCAGATCTTACCCGACTACATTCGGGTTGCGTACTGGCACCGCATCAGTTTGACCAAACCGATCCACCATGCGGGCAATGAACTGCGACTGCCGCAGATGTAGCTCCCCCTGCACACGATTGTAGTTGATCTCCATACCCAAAACAAATCGTGTGTCTCCTAGCGCCTTCATCTTGAAACGCTTTGCAAGGCACCGCTCAATGGCGACAGCTTCTTCCTCAACTGCAGAGCCCACCAACAGGTCGTCGACGTAGAGAACCACGAAAATAGGTCCATGTGGTCCAACACGTACAAACAGGCACGTATCACTCCGGCACTGGAAGAAGCCCATGTCAACGAAGGCAGAACGAATAGTATTGAACCAGACCGCTGCTGCTTGTTTCAGTCCGTAAAGACTGCGAAGCAGCTTGCATACCATTCCTCGTTCCGCGCGCACTCCCAAGGGGATGGCCATGAAGACAGCCTCGTCCAGGTCACCATTCAGGAAGGCGGTCTCGACGTCGAACTGCTTGATGAAGTAGCCCAGGTGATTGCAGACAGCAAAGAAGACGCGTAGAGTAGGAAGACCAGCAACAGGGGAGTAGGTTTCATGATAATCAATTCCAAACGTCTGCAAGAAACCCAAAGCGACAAGCCGAGCCTTGAATCGCACGATCTCGCCTCGCTCGTTCTGTGGAGTAGCGGCCTCACAGAAATCGCGGAGTTCGTCCTCGCACAAACCCGACGCGTCCAATCTGCGGTCGCGACGGGCAATTTCCCGGATCTTGAGTAGCGTTTCTTCGAATATAGAGCCCAAGTCTTCGCAAGCTTCAGAGTTGGGGGGGGGGGGGGGGGTTGAGTGGACGCTTGCTCCTTGTCTTAGGGCGTCGGTTGTTCCTTGGGCGTGCGGACTTATCGGGCCGGCGTTTCCTGGGGCTTGTTGCGTGGCGTTATCGGGCCGACGCGGGGTCTTGTGCACAGCGGTTATCAGGCCGTGCGGTCCTTCGTCTAGGCTGCGCGTTATCGAGCGCCTCCTAACCGGTATACGTTTTACGTGCCTTCGTTTCCAGCACGGGGTTTGAGGGGGTGAGTGCCCGAGCCAGCGAGCGACGGGGGGCCGCGTGTTCCTTGCGGTTCTGCTTGCCGACGCTTGGTGGTTTTCAAGAACCTGGCGATCTTCCGGAGGGGAGAGGCCTGAGTGGTTCAGAGAAATTTCGGGACTGAGTCCTTACCCTATCCTATGTCCTTGCTACTGGCTACTCTGTACTACTGCTTGCCAAGTCTACCGCTCTGTACCTATCCTTACTTCTGTCGTGCTTGCACTACCGTCCTTCAACCTGATTTGCGTGGCGTAATCACAACTCGAGCTCGATGGGATTCCCTCGACGGGATTTTCTCGACGGGGTTTTCTCGACGGGGTTTAGGGCTGACGGTTTTTTGGGGTCGACGGGGTTTGCATGACTGGGCGTATGAACCGGCTCGTCGAATCAGCCAGAATCAGCCTGATTCCGCCGCCGGTATGCGTGTCACACGGCCCATCATCCCGTTAACCTCTCTGGCCATCCCGACGCGTCGTATTCCATCCGTCTCGTCGGTTGCCATCTTTCCCGGCACTTCCCGTCACCCGTCCTCTGGCGCGACATCTCGTGGGGTGCTATTCCACATCCGTCCCGCTGCCACGCACGCGCACTCCCCAGGTGGGTGTGCCGTTGCAGAACTCGTCTCGCGCCCGTCGCGCCCCGTCCTGCTGAAGCCTCTCCTGTCGCCGTGCATCACCGTCGCTCCTCTCAAGTCCATGGTTCGTCGGGAAGACGTACGTGCTGCCGACATAGAGGTGGTCGACGACGAACTCGACACCGAGGACCTCGAAGCTGCCGGCTGTGCCGTCTGCGCGAGTGGGGCGCACCGCCCTCGTCCTCCTGTGCGTTTTACCGTCACGCTTCCAGCACCTGGTACGCCCGTTCCCTCGGTGGCGGCTCTCGTCGCCGACGCACATGCCCTCGCCCAGGAGAATCAGGCGCTCCGGGCTCAGTGTGAGCTTGTGTCGGTGAACAATGCCGGCTTGGCTGCTCACGCCTCCGTGTTGCACGATCGGAACCTCGCTCTCCTTCACCGCGCCCGCGAAGGTTACCAGGCGGGTATGGTGATGCTTGAGCAGGCGCTTGTCTCGCGCGCGCACGGAGCAGGCTAACGTCGACCTCGAAGACCGCGTACGCGGCCTCCGCGACCAGGCCGGACGCGTGGATGCGGCCGAGACCCAGCTCGGGGTGTTCAAGGCTTCGTCGGTTGAGGATTACCACGCCCTCCAGGACCAGCTCGCCGCCTCTCAAGCGCAGGTAGCTGACCTGTCCGCGCGGCTCGCCGCGGCCCCTCCGTCGACGTCTACGGTTTCTATGGCGCGGTTGTTCGCTGCGCTCGGTGAGCGGGACGACGCGCGTGCTGAGCGCGACGACCTGCGCACTCGGCTGGCTGCTGCGGAAGCTGCCCTCGTCCCTGTCCAGGCTCAGCTCGACGCTGCCGTAACGCAGCGAGATCGGGCGCGACAGTCTGTCGCCCGTCGAGAGCGAAAACGTGACGGCGCCCTCGCCGAACGTGACCAAGCACGTCGGGATCTCGTTGCGCTCGAGCAGGAGCGTGACGCAGTCGTCGGGGAGCGCGATCAGGCTCGGCAGGTGTCCCTAACTCTGGAGCAAGGTCGTGACGCTGCAGTCCGTGAGCGCGACCAAGCACGTCAAGCTCAGGCGGGAGTTGAACAGCAGCGCGACGCTCTGGTTGAGGATCTGCGCGTCGCTCGCAACTCGCTTGCTCAACGTCGAGCTGAGACTGAGTCTGCCCAGCGGCTGAACGACCCGCTGCAAGCCGACGTCCGGCGCGTGAATGCGTTGCTGGTTGCCCACGCCGAGGAGCTCCAGCGTGAGACGGCTCGCATACGCGAGCTGGAGGAGACAGTCGCAGCTGCCTCGACTGCACGCGTGGTCGCCGAGGCAGAGACGGCCCGGGCCCAGGCTAATGAGCTGCAGGCTGCCTCGCGATCCGGGCAGTATCGCACCGGCTGGTTGGCCATGCGGCGCCGGTCGCTGCAGCGAAGAGATGCGGCCGGCGCGCACATCCGCCGTCTGAGCGTCCGCGTTGCCGACCTGGCTGACGAACGCGATCTAGCGGTCCGGGAGCGTGACGAGCGTGCGGTGGCCTGGAGGCGCATGCTTCGAGACGCGCGCCGGAGCCGAGAGTTGGCTCAGCGCGTGCGCGACGACCTGGCCGGCAAGCTGGCCAACTCCGTTTCGTCGGTAGGCTGTACCATCGACACCGCCGACTTGATCCGCCGCCTCGAGGCTACCTACGCAGCGGAAGTGAACGCTGCCATCCCCCTTCCTCCTGCCGATCTCGCCAGGGCCACGCCTGTGGCTGTGTCCGTCGCGTCGCCTCCTGTTGTGGTCGCTGGGTCGTCCGGATCAGCCCCCAGCTCTGGCACCGTGCCTTCGACGAGTGTTTCAGCTCAGCGGCCGTCTTCCTCTGTCGGTACTCCGGCCCCTCTTCAGGTTCCGGGGTCTTCCTCGGCTTCGTCATTGTCGGGTACACGTCGACCTCGACCCAGTGGAGCCAGGCCTTCAGACTCTCGGCGCCCTTCTTCGAGCTGCGCAGGGCTCCCGGCGACCTCCACGTCGAGTTCTTCGCCACGGCGTCGAAGTCAGCGGGCTTCTACAAGGGCTGACACAGCAGCCTCGAACAGCACGGCCGCACAAGCTTCCCCTGTCACATCGTCGCCGGCGGCGGCTGTGACTGCGGCTGCGGCGCGTGCTCGTGCAGACGCGTCTCTCTTCGGTTCGGAGTCCTCGGAGAGTGACGCTGGGGCGCACTTTCCTCAGCCAAAACGCCGCCGTTTGCGGAGCCCTTCTTCCCGCTCGCGTTCTTCGCCGCGTTCACGTTCTCGATCGACTTTGCGTCCGCGCTCCCGTTCGCCCTCGGCGTCGCGTTCGGCGTCGCCTTCCCTCGCGGCTTCGCGTTCATCGTCGCGCTCGTCGGATCACTCCGTCGGCTCGGCGCGTTCCGCGGGGTCGGCTGCTTCCGCTCACTCGACCCGCTCGCGTCGGCCGGCGTCGCCTTCGCGGTCGGCACGTTCTCCCACGCGAAGTTCTCCCACGCGAGGTCGGCGACCGTCTCAGACTGGTTCGGCGATTCACTCCGGCGGGTCTGATGACTCTGACGGCGGTGATTCGTCCTCGTCGTCCTCTGCCTGCTCTTCGTCTTCCAGTTCCGTGTCAAGTGGCTCGGAGGGAGTCGCCCCTGTGGTGCCGTTCTTCGTTCCGGTAATCCCCCCGGCTGGCACGCCTTCGGGTTGGACACAGCGCCGCTACTTTCCGTGGCCCAAGTCCGTACGTCGTCTTCGGCTCCACACCATCACGGCTCGCGAATTGCGAGCGCGCTTCTTGCCGCCGCGGGGTTGGATCTGCCCCCGCGCGCCTGTCCCCGAACCGAGCCTTGGTGACACGCGCCAACGTCGACGCGTTGTACGCCACGCGGCCATGGCGCTACTTGGCTCAGGAAGTGGAGTCGGTGCTGTTCGCGTCGGGCGACGCCGCGTTCCAGCCGTTCATGCGTCGACTTCGGCACCACGTCGAGCGCTGGGCACAGGCGTACTGGGAGTCTACTCACGAGCTCCATGTGCCTGGCGCTGCGTGGCGGTCGTAGCGTTCGTCTCAGAACTCCCGTCGGCCGCACGCAGGCGACCACCTGAACAGTCTCCTCCAGCTGGTGGTCGACTTGTTTCGCCGCGGGCTCGCCGACATGGACTTGCTTCTGGACCCCGCGGTTCTTCACTTTCCACCGGCGCACTCACGAATCGGACGGTGGTTTCTGGGCCTTCAGCACACGACGCTGCTGGAAGCGCTCGACGACGTTGACGCCCAGGAGCCTTGACGTCGCTTCCACCGAACGCCGCTCACCGTCGCGCAGATGGATGTCAGCGTGCGTTGTCGCGTGACGCGTGCCCACCACGCTTACCTCGTGCCTCGCCTTGCAGGCAAGTTCGTCCAGCAGGTTTGAGCGTAGCCCGTTACTTTGGTGTATCTCGCAGCCGTAACTTCAATGCATCCCCTTGACACCTTCCCTCTTTTCTTTCTCTTTTTCACATCTTTTATGAGACGGCCCTCCGCCGTCCATCCTCAGCAACAGGCTGGTCCGCCTCACTTCCCTCATCCAATCCCTCGCTCCAGCCATTCCCAGAGTCGAGGCTTCCCACCTGTCCTCCCGTCGGCAGCCCCCTTGCCGACTTAGTCGCACCCGTGGGCGCTCACCCACCAGGCTCTGCCGCCTCCGAGTTCTCGTGCGACTGCATCGCCTCAAACCGGTTGCGTCCCGTGCGCCGGCGCAGGAAGTCGTACAGCAACCCGCCGCAATTCAGATCGAGCTCGTCGACCCACGTCGTGTCCGGGTAGCCTTTCCATTTGACTTCGAACTCGCGTCGCGTGCGCCCATACCGGGTAGCCCGCCCCTCGCGCATATTCACGATCTTCTCGACCTCGAAGACGTCGTCCTCCAGCTCGCGCGTGGCTTCCCAGCTATCCTCCGGCAAGAGCTCCTCGTCGAAGTCGAAGCGCTCCTCGGCCGGCACCGTCAGCTGCGTCGCGGGTCGCGACGGGAATTCTCGGATGGGCTTCAGCTTGGAGATGTGGACGACGGGGTACAGCTGATAGGGCGTACCCGCCGTCTCGAGGCGCACTGCGAACGCGCTGACCAGCTCGGCGACGCGGAAGGGTCCGTGCCACATGTGGGCGAGTTTGCGCACATACCCCGGCTTCACCCGATCCAGGTACAGCCAAACTTGCGAGCCCGTCGCGATCTCATGTTGCGTCGCGTTTTCAGTTTGTCGACGCGCTCTCTCTTCGACGGCCTCTCGGACTAACTCCAACGCTTGTGCCCTTGCCACCTTGTAGTGTCGCTGGATACGGAGCCTCCGCCGCCTCGCCTCGGCGTCCCGGGTCGACGTGTTCCCGACGGCCAGTGTCGCTTCCAGGGTCGACCGAGGATCCCAGCCATGCACTAAGAAGAACGGGGTTTCGTTCCTCGTCCGGTCGTGCGACGTGTTTAGCGCGAAGGTAAGACGCTCGGCGTATTCGTCCCAGTCGCGTTGGTCGACGTCCGCGGTGTACATCTTGATCGCTCTTGTAACCGTCTGCACCATCCGTTCTGCAGCACCGTTGGCTTGGGGACGATAAGCGAGCGTCGCTCGCTGTCTCTGACCCATGAGTTTGCTGAACGCCTTGAAGAAGTCGGACATGAAGCCCGGCTCGCGGTCGTGGCGGATAGCCTCGCTCGCGCCGAAGCGCCTGAACACCGCCTCCTCGTACGCCTCGGCCACCGTCTGCGCGGTTCGTGTTGCATTCGCTTTGACCACGACAAACCCCGTGAAGAGGTCGACGCAGACTAACAGCTCTGTGTTGCCTTTGTAGGATGCCGGCAACGACGGAATATGGTCCATGGCAATGACCTGGAACGGGTACGTCGCGACGATGTTGCCCGGCGACTCGCCCTGGATGGTCGGCCGATCCTTTCCGGTCTCGCAGTCGGTGCATTCGCCGACGTAGCGCTGGACGCTTCTGAAGATCCCTGGTCAATGGAAGTGGCGCCTCACGCGTTGGTACGTGCGGCCAATACCCTGGTGTCCGCCCTCCAGGCTCGCGTGATAGTGGTGGAGTACATCTTCCCGAAGCGTCTCCGGGATCACCAGCTTCATCATCACATCCCGATCCTCGGCGGAATCGTCACTTCTCGGCTGGTAGTAGAGCAGCCCGCCTTCGCCCTCTTCGTACTGAGGCGCAAGCTTTTGGCAGTTCTTCACCTCGCGCCGAGATAGGTCTCCGACGTCGCTGCGGAGATACTTCTTGAGGTTGACGATCCAGACCTCTTCGTTCTGGGCGACGCGGATGCGGTCCAGGCGCAGTCGTTGCACCACCCGCTCCTCCAGGACTTCTGGAGGTCGGACCCTACGTGTTTTCGTGCGTGCGGCAGCCGAGCGCGTCGTCACAGCGAGGACTTGTGCTGTCCCGCGTCCCGCGTCCATGGATTTCCCGACGGGGTCATTTGCGCCGCGCGTTTTCGCGTCACGATTTTCCGCGTCGCGATTTTCCGAGTCGAGGTTTTCCGCGTCGAGATTATCCGCGTCGGGACTGGCTGGAGACGCCATCCCGGGACTCGATGCCCGTGGTCGGATGACTTCTACCAAGCGATTCAGCGTCTTCAGATCTTGAATCTCCTCGGGACTGTGCGCGTTGCGGCCTCCTTGACGCTGCAGAGCTTGTCCAGCCAGCATGTCGGCACTCGCGTTCCAGTCTCGTCGTACGTGGAAGAGTTCGTGGCGCGGCCATGCCTGGAGTGCGTTTCGCGTCTTTTGTCGCAGCAGCTTCAGCCCCGGGGACTTGCAGTCCATCTCGTCTCGCATCTGCCTGATGACAAGGTTGGAGTCTCCGCATACGACGAGTCGGGTGACGTCGTCGAGCTCCTCTAGACGAGAACATCCGAGCAGCAGCCCGCGGTATTCCGCCTCGTTGACCGTGAGGTCCGTCGCATATCCCGACGCGGCGCGCACGATCTCCCAGTTCGGCAGCTGCCAAATGACGGCACTGTATGCTCCGCCTTCTCGCTTCGCCTTGGCCGATCCGTCAAAGCTCAAAACGTGCAAGACCTCGTCGCGCGCCTGGAATGACTACAATCCTGGACGCCCGTCTCCATGGGGCGATCTCTTCTAGCGCCGCGTCGACGAAGGCTCGCGGGGTAATGCTCGCGGCCAGCGCGCCGAGGAGTTCTTCTTCTCCCTTCATGGATCGGCAGATTTCCAACTTCCACGGCGAGAGGATCGCGGCCCACTGTGACGGCCGCCCCTGTAGTCCTTTGGACCGGAACAACCAGGCGAGCGTCGTGTGACGTGTCAAGACGCGGACCGGTCTCCCTGCTAGCATCGTGTAGCACTCGTTCAAGACGCGCAACAGGGCCAAGATCTCCTTTTCGACGATGTCGTAGTTCAGCTCGTTGGGCTTCAACGTACGACTGGTGAACTTCACAGGCATGTACACTTCGTCGTGGACCTGCGTGAGCACCCCTGAGATGGCCCAGTCGCTGGCGTACACGATCACGACGGATTCTCGGTTCGCGTCGAAGGGCTTCAACATTGGGGTCTCGGCGAGTTTTGCCTTGAGCGCGTCGAAGGCGCGCGTCGCGTGCGTCCACGTCTCATGTCCGTGGACTTCTGGACGCTTGGCGTACTCGTTGAAGTCGGTCTCCGTCAGCGAATACAGCGCGGTTGCATATACCGCAAAGTCTGCAATGAACCGGTGGTAGTAATTGAGGCTACCCAAGAACGATTACAGGCCCTTGAGCGTGCGCGGGAACTCGAGCGACGTCAGCGACTCCAGATTCTTCGACTTCGCCTCGAGACCGAGTCCTGAGACTCGGTGGCCCAGGTAGTCGACCTTGGACATGCCCCACTCGCTCTTCTCGACACTGATGGACAAGTGCCGCTGCTCGCAGACATCCTGCAAGCGTTCGACCTTCTCGCACAGGTCGTCCCACGACGTACCCCCGATGAGGATGTCGTCGATGTACGACCTCCGTCCCAGAACGGAGTGAATACCTGGCTTCACCGGTTCGCCGTCTTCAAAGACGTCCTGAGTGCTGCCATCCGGGGACAGCTTCATGAACCCGTAGAGCGCGTTGTCG